GGCTGGTGCAGATACCCTCTCTGATCCAGAAGCTTTACTGAGACTCTCTTTCCCTGTCCAGAGATACAAGAATGGCTGGGTGGTGCCAGAAGGGAGGATGCAGCCACAAGTACCCCCGTCCAGAGAACCTGTTTGTCCTCATGAGTTATCAGGAGAGAAGTTGAGAGATTTCCCCCACACCTAGGGAAACCCTGTTGCCTGGCCTTTGGAACCTCTTCCAGTCCCTCAAGCAACACCAGAAGGGACCACTGGGAAGTCATACCACATCAGATAAACCCATATAATACCACAAAGCCTCTGAAAATTAACCTGACAAGGTAAACACAGACCACAAAAATTGACCAAGACCTGTGTGCTAAACCTAAATAGTGAGACTACTTGTTAAAATGAATGATTTAAATAGGATCCAGTATCTCCTACCATAATAGACAAAATTCCAGAGGGAAGAAAATCACCCAGCATAATGCAAACTAAGAAAATCACACCTTGAAGGGGACGAGACAATCTGTTGACATTAATACTAAGGCAAAACAGGTGTTGGAATTAGCTGAGAAGTATTTTAAAGTACCCATTATAACATTGCTTCAATAATCAATTACAAATTCTCTTAAAACTAATTTAAAACAAAGGACATTTTAAACAAATAGATTTTATTAAAAAGCATAGAGTTATGAAGCAAGAGCGTTATGCTAAGTGAAATAAGCCAGGTGGTGAAAGACAAATGCCATATGACCTCACCTTTAAATGGAACCCAATCAGCAAAACAAACAAGCAAGCAAAATAGAACCAGAGACATTGAAATTAAAGACAATCTGACAGTAACCAAAGGGAAGGTGGGAGGGAATAATAAAAGGAAAGGGTTTTCAGGAGCAACTACAAAAAACACATGGACAAAACCAAGGGATGGAGAGTGGTGGGGGGTGCAGTAAATGCAGACAACTGTACTTGAACCACAATAAATAATTTCAGGCCCTGGCTGGTGTAGCTCAGTGGATTGAGTGAGGGGCTGTGAAGCAAAGGATCATGGTTCGATTCCCAGTCAGGGCACATGCCTGGGTTGCAGGCCAGTTCCCAGTGGGGGACACAGGATAGGCAGCCACACATTGATATTTCTCTCCTTCCCTTCCCCTCTCTCTGAAAATAAATAAATAAAATATTTAAAAAGAATAATAATTTTAAAAATACATAAAAGCATATCATAAAATGCAAAAGAATACAATAATGGAAGTAAATTTCTGTAGGTTTGCTCACTAGTAAAGTGGAGGTGACAGAGAGGAATATCAGTGAACCTGACTGTAGAACAATAAAATTCACCCAAATCAACAAGAGAGAAAAAAATAGTCTGTAAAAAAAATGAACACAGCCTCCGGGAGCTGTGAGACAACAATAGAAGAGTCATCATTTCCGTCACCAAACTCCCAGAAGGAAAGAACAGAAGAGTGGGTTGCAAGTTGTTTGAAAAAGTACTGGCTGAAAAAGTCCTAAATTTGGTAAAAGACACCCACCTACAGTTCTAAGAAACTGGCTGAAGCTAAACAGAATAAACACAAAGAAATGCAGCCAGAGATATAGGACAATGAAACACTGAAAACTAAATAAAGCCAGAGAAAAGTCTTGAAAGCAGCTAGAGGGAGATCAAGTGTCCCTCCCATGGAACACCAATGCGATTGGCCATGGATTTCTTATCTGAAGTCACGGAATCCAGAGAGAAGGGACTGAGTACTTTCCAAGTATTTTTCAAGTGCTAAAAGAAAAGAACTGTCAAGCGCAAAATCTATATCCTGTAAATTTATCCTTTAGGAGTAAAAAAGAAATAAAAAAATATTCTCAGAGGAAGAAGAACTAAAAGAATATGTTAGTGGCATACATGGTTTTTAAAAATTAACCCAATATATCAAAAATGTTATTATTTTAACATGTAATAAATATTAAAATATTACAAAGAAATAAAATTTCTTAAACACTGGCTAAACATTTTCCCAACAGAAAGTAACTGATAAAAGAAAAAAATAATGGAGGATTGGGAAGGAAGAAGGAAGAAGGGAGAGAACATAAAGAGTACATAAAAAATCTTTCTTTTCCTTATGAGTTTTAAAACCATATTTAATGATTGGAACAAAAATTATAGGACAATCTGATTCCTATGATATTGCTATTTAAAAATGGAGAAGAAATTGGGACCGAAATGGGGCTTCCACACGTCACTGAAGGTGGTAAAATGTTGACATGAGTAGACTGCATAATTCATACAGATATAGAGGCACATAAATTGTTAGGCTTGTAGTAGTGCTCAGAACAATCACTACCAAAAATACACAGAGAGACACTTAAAAACACATAAATAAATCATGATGAAACCCTAAATTGTGTTCAGACATTGTGTAGAGAGGCAAGAGAGCAGAAACAGAAATACGAGACCAGAGGAAACAAATAGAAAGCAAATAATAAATGGCAAGCTTAAGTGCTAACATATAAAAATTACCTCAAATGTAAATGGTCTAAGTACACCAATAAAATGTGGATTAAAAAGTGTAGCATCACTGCCTTTTGATCTAGTGATTCCAGTTATTCCACAGCTGGGTTTATGCCCAAAGAATTCTAAAGCACCAATTCAAAAGAACCTATGCACCCCAGTGTTTATAGCAGTGTTATTTGTGATAGGCAAGTGCTGGAAGCAGCCTAAGTGCCCATCAGTAAATGAGTGGATCCGAAAACTGTGGTGCATTTACACAATGGAATGCGATTGTGTTAGAAATGCAGCAGTTACGTGTATGCTATGCAGCAGTTAGAAAAAAACTCCACTTCATGACAGCATCATTTAATGCATTGAGGACCCGGCCTGAATAGAACCAAAATGTGGAGGAAGGGTGAATTCTCTCTATGTCCTTCAGCTGGGACATTCATCTTCTCTTTTCCTTGAACATTGGAGCTCCTGGTTCTTGGGCCTTCAGATTCAGATTCTGGATTTACACCAATACCTTCCCCACTTTATAAGCCTTTGGCCTTGGACTGGGAGTTATACCATTGGTTCCCCTGGTTCTCAGGATTTTGGATTTAGACTGAATTACACCACTGGCTTTTCTCATTCTCCAGCTTGCCCATGGCATATTTCAGCATATCTCAGCTTCTCTAATTATGCAAACCAGTTCTTATAATGATACATATATACATATATTTATGACCCTATATATATGATCTCCTATTAGTTTATCTCTGGAGAACCTTAATACCTTTTTAAGGCTAAAGAAAATATTATTTATCTGTAAAGTACTTTGACTAGTTATCTAGGAGCTGCTCAATAGATTTTTATGAAAGAAAATACAGGAGGGAGAAAAGAAAGGAAGAATGGTGATGAAATTGTGCATGAATGGGGACTCTGAACTTATGGGCCATTTGAATATATTACTTTCGTGTGATCTACACTAGAATCCAGGAATAAGGGTGTTGCCACCTGGATTATTAAATAGATCAACAATTTAGCTGGAATCAAGAGAAAATCCTTTGAGCTAATGTGTTGCTTTGAAGTCAAGGAAGATAAAAAATTCACTCACAGATGAGATGAGTTCATGCATGACTCTCACAGTTTTAGGTTTCCTAACAAAAAGCTAAAAATCTCCAACTGTGGAGCTCTTTATTGACTCTAGAGTTGTAAATGCAGACCTGGAATTTATAGAAAGAAACAATTAGGGGAGGAGTGGGTTCAACAACCAAACAGAAAAATAATGCATGTCTGGGAGGGGACTCATGGTGCCCAGAGTAATTCTGCTCTAATTTTCTATTCAGTCTCTTCAGTGGAAGGTTTATCCCATCTCTGTTTCCTCTCTCTTATTGTTGAGGCTGAGTAACTACAAACTGGGACCTTAGGTTTCCTCTCTGTGATGCACTCTTCTTAAAAATGTCTGTGTTGAATAGAGTTACCTTCTTTTCTAGTTGATAAGATCTCTCGTTCTTTAGAGGCCTGCATTAGTAACTTCCTCTGTAACTTCCAATCAGAACCCATCATTCTTACCTGTATATATACTACAATTTGCATCAATGGAATAAAATTACCATACATTATAATCAGCTGTATAGTTATATCCCCCACCCCCAGTTGTAAGTTCTTTTGTCAGATTTGTCTATGCATACATGTATGTATGTATGTATGTATGTATATCTATCCAGACTGAGTTTACCTGTAGTATCTATAAATAGTATTAAATAAATCTTGAATTAAACTTTTGTAGTTATATTCTCTGTGCCCTTTCTTTTCCCAGGGGTTATATCTATTTTTAAAATTTCCTCCACAAAGGGGATGCAGAGATAGGGATAGAGATATACAGAAATAAAGAGATACTCCTTATCTCTGTACAGCAATTTTATTAATCTTAAACTTCCTCTGTCTCTCTATTCAGGTCATTTATTACTAGACAGCTATTGTACAGAGTGGTTAAATATTAAGGCTCTGAAAGCAGACCTAGTTTAGAGTAGTGACCTGTCATTTACAAGTTCTCTGCCAATTAAAAGCCCTTATAGCCCTTCTAAACCTAATGTGTTTTCATTCCTAAAATGAGACTTCTCATTGCTTCATGAGTGGTATGAATGCTGAGCCCATGCCCAATGAACACTTAGCACAAGGCAAGCCATAACAGTCTTCTCAATGCATGGTAGCTATTTTCAATATCTTTAAAACCATTTGAAGTACATTATATTTATTAGAAGGCCAGACACAATTTTAACAGTAGCAGATATTGAGAAATAGTAGCATATTAATAAGTTTATTTTCAGCATTATCTTCATTAGCAGTAAACATATCCAGTAAACATTATTAATACTGAAGTATATCTAGTAAGAATTATTATGATATCAATAAAAATAATACTTTTTACATTTTGTCAATGTGCAGGGGGTCTCTGGTAGATTCACTAACATTAATTTTACAAAATTAAGTGAATTCAAAGGAAGCACACATTTTCCCAGTTTTAAATTTTAAGCCCGAATAAATAAGGTTTAACATAAGGGTCATTAAGAAAAAAAGCTTTTATTATAGAAAGTTGCCAATCTGACTTATCAAAGAAAAACAAAGCTTAATGTGGTAAACAGATTGCATTTATTATTCTCTACAGTATTTAAAAATTAGAATATATTGTACCACTTTGTTAAAAATAATTCTTCACACAATTTTGGTAGGTTAGTGGCAAACACAGTTTACAAATAAAAGCCATAGTTTTCAAACTAAAATCAGTTTGTGGTCTTTACAGAATTTACAGAAGCACGTTAAGATTCAGTTTGAGTATCTGAAGCAGTTTCCACATGAAAGTGTTTCCAGGGGATAGAAAGCTGATAAGCTCAGACAAAGCACCAGCTGTCACTACGTCACCAGGCTAACACCGACTCCTCCTGGTCCCCATCACATACATGATGAAGAATGGGAGGAGAAAGAAACAAAACCCCGAAATTACAGTTGCTTAGAGCATCCCCCAAAGGCATCTTGGTAAGGTTAATACATTTCTGAGGAGAAAAAATAGTTAGATTATGATGGTTAAGGCTCAAGATCATGCGTTCATAATAAAACACAATTGCTATTATTTAAATGGCATTGAATGTCATACAACATATTCAAAGTTTGTCATTTAAGTTAACAGTATACATAGTTTCTCAGTGAATCTTTTAAGACTTTGTAGGTACATTGAAAACAATCTTTATATAAAAAGAATCAATTTCAGAATCTCAAACTATATATGAGGTCTGTCCAGAAAGTATTCAGCCATGTAAATATAAAAAAATAGACAAATTTATTGAAGAGAATACAAGAAACATTGTACATAGGACAATGACACCTCAGTCCCCTTCAAAGTAGGCACCTTAGGATCTCACACAGTCCTCCCAATCTCCATCAGCTGCCTGGCCGTATTTTTCTGAGTTGCCTCAACAGTCTGAAATCTCTTCCCTTTCAAAGGTAATGATTTTAGTTTTTGGAAAAGCCAGAAAGCACAGAGCACCAAATCTGGGTTGTAGGGAATCTGAGTTATCTGGGTGATTTAATGTTTTGCCAAAAAACCGCATGAGATGTGATGATAAGTAGTCACACTGTTGTGATAAAGAGGCAAGTCATGGTTGCCCATAGCTGCAGCCTCCCGAATCATCCAAATAGTTTTCACAGGGGAATATTCAAGCTTAATGCAAAATTTGATGCAGATTCATTGCTCTACTTGCTCAGTCATTTTGAATGTGATGGCCACACAGTACACATGCTCATTCAAGGGTACCTACCTACTACCCCCACTGACTAGTACAGTGAAGTTGCCACTGTTCACACATGTGCATTCCAGTCCACTCTCCTTGGCTGCCAGATTATATAAATGGTGCACAAACTCTTCCTAATATATTAACAATGGTTGGACTTTTTGTAGACAGACCTTGTAGATATGACTGCATTTTTATGAATGTGTCTAAAAACACCTTTGTGCCAATCTTTTATAAATAACTTCAATGGTGAAAATTAATGTTTAGGATTTTAAAGTTTTTCAGACATAAAACATTTTGGAGAGTAAGTATATATATAAGGAAATAAATATAAGAACTCAGAAAGACAAACGAGTAACTGAAAACTAACTTGTACAAATTAATGTTATAAGACCCCACCAACATACTCACACTTTGATCTCCAAATTCAGAGTTCTCACAGCTTCAGTGATCATTTCCTTTCTCTATTTATAAAGAACCATAAAGTACAGCACAAAGTAGTTCAAATTGGCCACAGTTTACCAACTAATGATGAAGACGCTGAAAATCCCTAGACACGATGGTAGCTTTTGACTCTTCTAATTCCTATTATGATATACATTTGCCAGATCTTATATACTCAATGTTACTTTATGGATAAATGGTAAAAATGCATCATTGTATGATAAGGTAAGACTTAAGACTACTAACATATTTTCTACTATATCATTTTAGTAAATATACTTTTTAAACATGTGAATAAAGAAAGTATATGTCATAACCATTTTCCTTTTTGTTCTTGTTCTATGAACACATGCTACTGAAGAGCGACTTAGCTGAAACTAGCCAGAGATGGGAAGCCAGGAATTCAAGAGCCATGAAACAACATTAATTCCCCATACCCAAAACAGAAGGAATAAAACAGAAACGGGGCTCTGATCAATCTTTTTCAGATGTGGTTTGATTCAGCCCAAGGTCTCTGTGGCTGATCTCAAAGGCACTTTCTAAAAACAGCCCTTCCTCTTCCCCCAATTGGCATCTGTGTAGGAAAGTTTATGATTTAATGGCCTGCAGCATTATACTGCTTTTTAAACACCATTCAACGTTAAGAAACATGGGGACTTGGATCCCATCAAGTTAAAGTAGACATAAAATATACAAGAAAGACTCCTTTGCTACTAATTTATACCCTCACCTCCCCATCCTCCAGAAGAATCACACACTGAAAATCCTATAGAGAAAACAAGCATTGGATTATCAAATGGCATTGTAACCCACTTTAACTCACTGCAGTGATTTAAAGGGATGTCTGATTACACCGAATGTAGAGGGGTAAAAAAGTGAGTTCAACATGGAGTCTTGTGAAAGCTTAACTTCCATGAGTTGTAAACAACTGATTACTAAAGTGAAATCTTTACTGTCTCTAATCTTTGCTTTTATTTCTGACTTAAACTTAACATTTTTAAGAGATGTAAAGAAAGTGAAAATGTGGTTAGTGGAATTAGATAGGACTTTGAATAGTTGACTTTTGCTAAGCTTTATCAGAACAGGCATCTTCTTTGGTAGCTTTATCTTCCCTGTCGTCATCTATCATATGAATGTCTGATGTATTTTTGTCATTTTGCCTCAAACGGTAACTTTTATAAGCACGCTGAATGATGGTTGCCGAGACCGCCTCTTGTTTTCGTTTCAGAGTAGTTGTAATTGGCTCATATGTGATCTTAAAAGGGCTGGCTAACATAAACCCAGACTCTATCTCTGAAAGCATTTTCTCCATGCTCACATCTCTACCCATAACTCTCTTTGTAAAAGCAAGTAAGATATCAAGGCAATGGATTCTGTCCCCAGCAGCCATTGGAAGATCCATGGCAACAAGCTGGCCCCTGTTTGGCTTTGCCATGAAAAGAGGAGGTTCCAGAGCAGCTGCAAAATCTGGAAGCTTGCTAGAATCTATATACTGGGTTCTGTCCGGATCAAACCTTGTCCATACCTGAAAGAATTTCCTAAAATCATCTTCGCTCAGTGTCCTGGCTTTTTTTTTAGAAGCAATATTTAAAAACTCCATAACGAAAACAATGTACATGTTTACAATGATCATCCATGATATGAGGATATAACTGACAAAATAAATAATTCCAACAGAGGGATTACCGCAATCTCCTTTAACCTGAGTCCCAGGGTTAATTTTTTCAGGATCACAGTCAGACCATTTACTGTTGAAAATGGCATTGAGCATCCCATCCCAACCAGCAAATATTGTGACTTGGAAAAGACAGAGCATACTGCTGCCAAAGGTTTCAAAGTTGGACACATCGTTAATCCCAGCTTCCTTTTTAACATAGGCAAAGTTGTACATTCCAAAGATGGCGTAGATGAACATGACCAAGAAGATGAGAAGACTGATGTTCAACAATGCCGGGAGGGAGAGGATCAAAGGAAGCAGCAGATCATGGAACACCTTAGGTCCTTTCCCAGGACGCAGGATGTGGATGATCCGAGAGAGAAGTATGAGTTTCATGAAGGAAGAAGGTACAAGGTAGTATCCTGCTAGAGGCAGAAATAGTTCTGGTGTGGGGAAAGATAAAGCAGACAGTAAAATTAGTCAGATTCGGTGGTATTTAGAGGAATGTAAGTTATTTTACATTTATTTCTTTTTATATGTTAAGATCATTTTATATCATCATCCTTCTCATATAGCATTCAGCAAATATTTTAAGTTTGGGTTGGTCAAATACTGTGTATCAATACCCAGAGATTCTGGCAAAATTTGGAAGAGAATTGTTTTACCATCATCCTGTCAGTATTATGTATCAGGTACTATTGGAATCACAGATGGCATGAATCTGTGATATGACAGTAGTCATTTTTTTCTGATTGTAGTTAGAGCAAGAAATTTAGTTCAATGCAACTTTTATTCGATACTTAATAAAGGTGTTGTGCAACTATGCAAAGATGGATGATGTGAATTCTGTCCTCAAACAAAGCCTTTCTAATTTATAGAGGTAGACATTTAAACTAATTATAATGCGAGGCAGAAAAACATGGTTGATAAATATTATTACAAAAAATGTTTGCGAAATTGAATTTATTGGGGTGACACTGGTTAACAAAATTATACAGGTTTCAGGTGCACAATTCTACAATACATCATTTGTACTTCAATGACTCACAGATTTTAATTTAATTTACTTATTTCATTAATAATATTTGGGCCCTTAAGAACTTTCTTTTTTTTTAATATATTTTATTGATTATGCCATTACAGTTGTTCTATTTCCCCCTTCATTCCCCTCCACCCTGCACACCCCCTCCTCCACCATTCTTCCCTTTAGTTTATGTCCATGTGTCACAAGTTCTTTAGATTCTATATTTCCCATACTATTCTTGCCCTTCTCCCTGTCTATTTTCTAGCTACTGTCTATGCTACTTATTCTCTGTACATTCTTCCCCCTTCCCCTCCTCCCACTCTCCTGTTGCTAACTCTCCATATGATCTCCATTTCTATGTTTCCACTCCCGCTCTAGCTGTCATTCTAGTTTGCTTTTGTTTTAGGTGTGGTTCTTAGTAACTGTGAGTTTGCTATCCTTTCACTGTTCATCTTTTTTATCTTCTTTTTCTTAGATAAGTCCCTTTAACATTTCATATAATAAGGGATTGGTGATGATGAATTTCTTGAATTTGACCTTATCTGAGAAGCACTTTATCTTCCCTTCCATTCTAAATGAAAGCTTTTCTGGATAGAGCAATCTTGGATGTAGGTCTTTGGATTTCATGACTTGGAATACTTCTTGGAATACTTCCAGCCCCTTCTGGCCTGTAAGGTCTCTTTTGAGAAATCTGCTGACAGTCTGATGGGAACTCCTTTGTAGGTGACTGTCCCCTTATGTCTTGCTGCTTCTAGGATTCTCTCCTTCATTTTAATCTTGGTGCACGTAATTATGATGTGTCTTGGTGTGTTCCTTCTTGGGCCCAACTTCTTTGGGACTCTCTGAGCTTCCTGGATTTCCTGGAAGTCTATTTCATTTGCCAGATTGAGGAAATTCTCCTTTATTATTTTTGTTCAAATAAATTTTCAATATCTTGCTTTTCCTCTTCTCCTGCTAGCACTCCTATAATTCGGATGTTGGAATGTTTAAAGATGTCCTAGAGCTTCCTAAGCCTCTCCTCATTTTTTTTGAATTGTTTCTTCATTCTTTTCTGTTTGGTCATTTTTTTTTTCCTTCTGGTCCACTCCATTGATCTGAGTCCCAGTTTCCTTTCCATCACTATTGGTTTGCTGTGCATTTCCCTTCATTTCAATTAGTTTAGCCTTTATTTGTTCCTCTAATTTGTGACTAAAATCAACCAGTTCTGTGAGCATCCTGATCATCAGTGTTTTGAACTGTGCATGTGATAGGTTGGCTATCTCTTGGTCACTTAGAAGTATTGGCTTTGGGGCTTTGAGCCGTTCTTCTTGAGCCATAATGTTTTGGTCTGTTTGCACCTGTTATGTATGAGGGGCGGAGCCTTAGGTATTCACCAGGGTGGGGCAACCCAAGTCGCTGGGTTGTGATGCTGATGGGGGTCAGGGTCAGAGAGGGGCAATGGCATTTGTTTTGCTCTCCCTCAGATTTCAGTCCCCTCTGTAGCTTCCTGCAAGCGAATTGGTCCCTTCTGGTGCCGGCTCCCTGGGTGTGTGGGCTTGTGCACCCTCCAGGACCCTGTGGGTCTCTCCAACAAACTCTCTGTGAGCCCGGGAGCTTCTCCTGGCACCTCGACCCTGAAGGTTTTTCCAATCAGTACTTTTAGGCTTTATTTCCCTGTGCTGGGGCCCTGGAAGGACTCGGGGGGCTGCAACAAAGAGCAATGGACTCTATCAGCCCCCCCCCCCTGCTTTGACATAGCCCGAGTCCCCATGTTCTCTGGGAGAAGCGCTTCTTGGCTCTAATCCCCTTAAGCCTGAATACCTGTTGGGGAGAGGTGCAGCTCATGGCCTTGCTAGAGCATGTCCTGAGGAAAAATCTGGCATCACAAAGACTTCCTGATAAACCTGTGAAATCTGCTCTGCTAAAAGTGCTTTCATTCATATGATAAGGGTCCAAGAGGAAACGAGTATGTCTCCCAAAGTTTCTGCAGCTCTCTTCCTGACAGACACTGACTCAGACTCTGAAGCCCTCAGATCTCTTTGAAATGTTATCTACTGTTTGATCCTCACAACCCTGTATTCCTGTGTATTACAACACAACAAAAGGCTATGGAGAAAGGCGCTTGAGGCCTTTTTCTCCTCGGAGAAACTGGTCGCTGCTGGCCTTTGTCTCCCCAGAGAAATTGGCCATCCCTCCTCCCCAAGCAGACCACATCATATCTCTGTCATATTCATTTTCATCCGCGGCACCGTGGTGACTCGCAGAGAAGTCGCCCCCACAGATGGCCACCTTCTGAACCCAGGCAGGCGACCTGCCTTCTGAGCTCTCAGATTCAAACGGCTTTCTCTCAAACTGCAGTTTCCTCTCTCTAGGCCTCTATTTCAGCCTCTCACTCCAGTCTCATAAGGCTCTTTAATTCCACATTTCCCTGGTACCTTCCTGTTGCCCGCACCTGCCTTTATGTACTTTCAGTCAAGCTTCTTGTACTTGCCTGTTAATACTTCCTCTGCTTTGACTACTAGGTGAATGAGTGAATTTTCCAGAAGCACACCTGGGCTGACAGTTTATCCACACTTATTACTGCTGCCTACACCGAACAGTACATGACAATAAACATCAATTGACATTCCTATTTTCAAGGAGCTCACATTCCAGTATGTGTCTTACAGGAGGCAGACAACAAAGAAATTTTTCTCTGCTAAAACACTTTTCTCCTAGGGTATTTCTTTGCTACTTCTTACTCCAATAAGTAACTGTTTAGATTTTTCGCTTCATCTGTGGAGTTCTCTGCCTTCAAGTTACTGATTAGGTGTCCTCACTAAATGTGCTGCTATAATAGCCCTTACATAATCTTATCCATTCCTTGATAGCATGGTAAAATGAACTGTTAATTTTCTGTATCTCTTAACAAACTATAATAAAATATGGCCATAAAGGAATTATGCCTAACTTTTTGACCAATGAATTCTTTGCATATAGTATAATATCTACACACAAATAGGGTAAGCAAATATATTGGTTAAATAAAAGACTGAGATCTCCAGAATAAAACTAATGACCCATTTATTAAAAGCCTTATACTCTACTGTTGTGAATGTTGTAAATAGAGATTAGAGCAAAGGAAGAATCCTGAGCTTCAAAGGTCTTATCATGAGAAGATAAAAATATACTTAGTGTCATCCTGGGAAACTAATGTAGGTTAATACACTGAAACGGTAATTATTTACCTGGTGGTCTATGAAGTAAAGCCTGTATATTAATTCAGACAGGACTTTTTAGTACCTCCTATCTGTCAGGCATGTGTACACGTATGAATGCAAACATTTAAAGCATTTCTGTTGGAAATAACAAGGGTCCCTATCTGTTTTGCTGATTGAGAGGCTAGGTCTCAGGAGACGTTTACTGTAAGAACTCTCCTGAATTGACATTTCTACAAATGAAAATCTGACTACACAAAATCTTACCTGTAATGGAGAAGACAACCACCATAAAATCAAAAATGTTCCATCCGATAGCAAAATAGTTACAATGGAAAGAGATTAGCTTCAGCACACACTCTGCAGCGTACAGCACAACAAAAGTGAAGTTAATCCAGTAGAGGGCAGCGTCCATTTGTTCACTCTGTTCATCACTTTGTATCATAATGGTTATTGCTTGGAAGCAGATAAGAACCATAATGATGATATTAAAAACTTGACTTGTTACCAAGTCAAAAATGAATCTCCGGAACTTGTTCTGTGGGTAAAGAAAAAGGTGTAGTAGTCCTATTAATAGGATACCTAACCACACACACAGGCTTTAGATTTACAATCTTACTCCCAGCATAAATAGGAGAATAAATCAAGGCCTAAGTTTTTTACCAAACTAGAACTACAGCATACAGTCAAAACAAACAGAAAGGCCATCAAAAGTTTTGTCAAAAAACATATTTTTAAAATTTCTTTCAAAAGCATTTGTTGATGATACGTTTAAAACACATGCTATTTAAAAGATGGATATAGAAAAAAAAACTTTTTTTAAAGCTTCAAAAGAAATAGACATGCTTTCTTACTCCTGGGCGAGGTATTGTTTTTAGAGAATCCTCACACATCAGCTTCTTCAGTGCATGGTATTGTTTTTTCTGCTTTCCTGTTATAAAGATATTTGAATCTCCTTGGTAAAGAAATGAAAGAAATGCGTATTAATCACATTTAATTCAAATTTCACTTTACATTAAAATGCATTTTGGAAAGCGTGGCAATGATTGATTTAGTTCATGTGGCAATGAACTAAATCATGAACACATCTGACCTTCTGCAGAGAAATCCATATAAAACATATATAGAACATATACTGGGGGCGATTGATAGGCAATTGTCTTTTGGTGCACTTCCGTGTGGGCAGTCAACCCTATTTTAACTTTTCCGTCTGCTGAGGCTATTTCTTGCAGGCGGAGACAAAGGAGAAACGGGGTATCTGGAAAGGTTCAGCATATTTGACCACCGACCTCTTTAATCCCATCTGATTAGTGAGGACTGAATGGTTTGTTTACAAGATCTTCCACTTGGCTAAACCTGATGATAAGGCTAAAGTTGTAACCTCAAAATTAAACTATTCTTTTCTTTGATTTGTTAGAAGGCTTGCCTGTGCCCATTAAGTCCCCATGGTTAGAAGAAGCAGACTTTGATGACTTTTGAGGCCTTTGCAATTTGTAGAAGCCCTGAAGAGAATATTTGTGTGGAGATGCCACCAATGGGCTGCCCCATTCTGCCTCTGCATTCACTCCTATTCACCTCAAACACTCTCATTCAGGCGACCCAATCAGAACTTATGACTCTCTCTACTTCTAGCATAAAGAGCTACTCTAACTGAGAAAATATGTGTGCTGGTTATGACTCCGAAGGCTTTGAAAATTTCAGAGAAGAAAAAAGTGTGATTTGTTTTTCTCAGACTTCACATATTTGTGCAAATGCACAATGATTTTTATTTTTTAGTATGTCATTATTCATGAACATACAGAAATATAAAATTTTTACCTTTTAAACTTGTCTGTGCATATTTGAATATAGAAAACAATGTACAGAATAAATATTTTAGCAATATTTGTCAATATACAGGAACATCATTTGTTTTTCAGCTAAGTACCAAATAAAAAAATGACATTAAGTTGAACCTAAAACCAATGATTTGGACCAGGACATTTTTGTCAAGGTGTTTGATTTTCTCAGGCATTGAATGAAACAAAGACTATTTATACTTATCTTTATTTTATGCTTGTTGAAATTAGCAATAATAACACCAACCAGCATAGTCAGAGGAAGAAATAATCCAATGATAACAAAGTTAATGAAATAAATATACATGTAGATGTTGTCTTCAAAGTTGGGCTGCATATTTACCTAAGAATTAAGTTAAAAAATAAGCACAATCAGGAATAACATTGAGGACTGATAGGGCAGTGAAAATACTCTATATGACATTGTAACGATGGGTCCATGTGATCACACATTTGTCTAAACCCACAGACAGCACCACACTGAGTGAACCCCAAGGTAAATTATGAATTTTGAGTAATCATTAGTGTCAATATAGATTTACTCTTGGTAAAAAACACACCATTCTAGTGAGTGCTGTTAATAATGGGGAGGGTATGCATGGGTGGAGGAAGGGGATATATAGGAAATACCTGTACCTCTCTCTTAATTATGTTGTAAACCTGAAACTGCACTAAAAAATAAATTCTTTTAAAATAAAAATAAATAAAAAGTGAAAAATAAGGAAAATATTGATACTGACTTTTTAAAACAAAAGATTTATAAAACAATTTCTGAAAGGAAATCCAACAGTGCTACTTGAGACAATGTTTCCTCTTTGCTCATTGGGTTTCAAAGTTTATTATATTGCTTTAATGATTGTTATGAAGTCTGATAATCCTTGAAATGGTCCTACTGGGGCTCATCTAATTTTATATAATCCTAAAAGGATTTCATTGCCCATGAAATACTCAATATAAACTCTATTTAATTTTTGCCTAGCATAAACATTTACTTTTACACTGTTAATTATTGTTATTGCTAGTGCTTTGTCTTGAATTACAAAAATGAGTTTGCTTGAACTTTAACAATGGCTTTAAAATTATATTATACTTACTTGAGTAGAATCAACAGCTGAATTCATAATATCGATCCACCCATTAAATGTTGCCTATAAAAATGGAATGTATTTAATGCTTATGGAAATCTTATGCTTCATAGCAGATAAAAAGTAAAACTCAGTCTGGTACTGATATAGTAAAACATTTGATTAGTAAGACTGACCACACTTCAATATATTGTATAACTAAGATCTTTACCATTTTCATCATTACATTTATGTTGTCTGTTAATGACTATTTAAAACTACTTAGTGTAGATGTAGTCAATAAGAAACTTATTTTAAAATAGTATAAAAGGAAAGAAATATAGGCAGAGAGAGAAATAGTGACTAAATACATGCTGCCTGAGTATTATAGTTTTTTGTAACTTCTCTCTATGTGCTTTTCTTTGGGGAAGCTGAGTCAGGAATGGTTCACCTCCTCACACCTACCAGATGTCGAGTAAGTGAGTAGCCATTTCTCAAAGCACTAAGCAGAAATAAAACAGCTGGACCCAAAATTGTGACCTTATTACATGATCAGTGACAGAAACAGGTTTGGCTAGAAGCTGCCATTTTCTCAGTCCTGCCTTCACCTCCACTGCCTTCTCCAAAAAGACCAGAAACTCTTCTGCTTTTGTTTTTCTAAATGAACTGACAAGTATCTGCTAGGTAGCTTAATATTCATAACATGTACCTGCTAACAAATAATAGCTGAAATAATTTATAATCAGTTCTATTAATCTTCCACTCTGTCCTTATGTTTACCCACAATATAAATGAACATATAATAGATCATAAAATCAAGAACATACTTACTACTTGAAGTAATGAAAGGAAAGCATTTCCAACATTATCAAAATTCAGTTTTGCATTCTCCCATGGCATGGATTCATTAAATAAAAGACTTTCACATTGATTCTTACTACTGACTTCATGTATAGGAAACCTTTCTTCTCTTGTTGGGTCAATGCATTCATAAAACTTGCCAGCAAATAAATGTACTCCCATGATGCTAAAGGCCAGCCAGACCATAAGGCAGACCAGGACCGCATTCCAAGTGGGTAAAGTTGTTTTGATCAAAGCTCTCACAACCACCTGGCATATAAAAAGCAAACATGTAAACTTTAGGTAAGACATGTGAAAATATTTTGTTTAAATTGGAAATACTAGTTAATGTGATGTCATATTGAAATAACAAAACAAGGCCATCTCTAGAGATTTAATAGGCCACATGCTGGTATTTGAATAACCTAAGTAACAAATTTCAATTTAAAATACACATTTAAAAATCCAGATATTCTCAAAATGTTTTAGTAAAAAAATCACTAAAAGAACAACAGAGCTGATTAGTATAAACACTAGCATAATGAAATATTTCACTGATTGAACATGTTTATCAACTATTGTGCATGAAATGGACAAGACAAGTGAACCTGTGTGTATGTGTAAGATTATCTAGACAGAATGTAAACTGAGAGCAAAACAGACATAATTTGGGAGGATTCTGCCCTTCAGGAAGAATATCCTACAAGGAGAGAGTAGAGCAGTGGCAGGGGAAATAAGAGAAGACCAAGAGATCGTAGATGAGTGAAGTCAAGAACTATTTTAAGAAACATAGAATAGAGAGCTAGACCTCGAAAAATCACAAAGCACCTCATGAACCACTCTGTCACTGGTGAGACACTGCAGACTGGAAAGATGGGAAGTGAATTCACCACCTAAACTTGAATGACAGCAATAGTGTATAATCACCATCTCCATTTCCTTAACTCTCTTCACTGGTTAATATTGCAATGAAAAATTCATTCTCATCACCCCACTAATGCAGTTATGCAAATGTAAACCAGTTGTTACATTTAACAGACTATTTTCAGTCTTTGCCATTTCTTTACCTTCCACTTAGCATTCACACTTTTGACTCCCTTCCCCTCAATCACTTGATTTACTATTTTTTTCTGAGGCACCATTGATTTTCTCCTATATGAGTCTAACCTTCCCTACCCTCAGCCATTACTGGATACATATACTTTTGCCTGTACTTACTTGTTATGTTCCTTAATTCTCTGGCCTTGAATTAATATTCTGACTTTTAATTGTGTTTTCAATAAGATTTTCTTATTTCTAAAAGTAAATTACATCCAGACAATTTACTGGTAGGGGCATTCTTTCCCCCTGCCTCCCCTCATGTATCTAAATTTATTAGGGGAAAAAACCCTACTATTATTCCATAATATTTTTACGATGACAAATAATTTATTTTAGTTACATTCATTATTATTTCTCTGTGTGTATGCTTCTCAGCTTCATGGGGGTATAATAGAGAAGTGAAAATTGCATACATTTAAGGTATACGAAATTATGATTAGACATATATATACATTATGAAATGATTACCATACTCAAGCTAATTAACACATCCATCACCTCACATAGTTCTTTTTTTTTTGGTGATTGTGAAAGAGCTTAAGACATACTCTCTTGGAAAATGTCAGGTATACAGTATGATATTACCAACCACACACAGTTGCCACGCCACACAGGACATTCCAGAGCTTATTCCTTGTATAGATGAAAGTTTGTGCCATTGACCAACATCTCCCCATCCGTAACCCCCACCCACCACATTTTGACTTAATAGGTCATGTGTAGTTTATAGCCCCAAAATAGTCTATGGAATTTTTCTATTATGAAACAGTATTTATGCTGCAAATTTGGTTGTCTTGTCATTTTAACCTCACTCTTATAGACCTCTCCACCCACACTTCACTTTTCAGCTTATTTTCTTCCTTATTTTGTTTTAAAAGCAAACCCAGGGGGACAATGCAACTTTATGGACCTCCATAACATTCTTAATAAAATATTTCCTAAGTTATAATATGTTATAATTATAAGCTAATCAGGATTAAATTTATTATAATGAGTCAATCAGATTCATATGAATTACAAAAATATTATTATAAATCATGTTCTTGCATATATATTAAACGTAATTAACATAGTTAATAAAATAATAAACCCAGTTATATGCATATATATTTACATATGAATATACATATATGATATAAAGGTGGTAGGATTAAAATGTCTGTAATACATTTTTGATAAAATTCACATTTTACGTTTTTTTATATTTCTGTGTTGAATTAATAATCTCTCAAACTTTTAGATAAAAAAACAAGTGGAAAAATTCAAGTGTTATGCTTTCCTAATGAATGGCAGTTAAAATGTAAGGTATAATGTATGGACTATAAAATAATACAGCTTAAATAATTTTCATATTGGATCCTATCTACATTGAACATGTGGTTTTCTGTAATATTAAATTGAAAGGATATTACTAAATAATATATGTAAATAGAAATGCAAAAACCCCAAAGTATAATTATGAAATAAAAGGTAAAATTATACTTTTCCTGCCATTTCTATATGCAGTTGATCTTGGTATATCTACATAATTGTACTATTTGTGGTGGCCAAAGACTGTTTTTTCTATTAGGCTGAGCCACAGTATATTTCCTTTTTAGGCTCAAAAGATTGAACATCGGCCATTTTATGTGGTTCAACTTATTAGTTTCTCTCCCATTGCTCAGAAAAGGTTTTGGTATGAGAGTGATGGAAAGACAACTGGTAAGAACTCACAATTCGTGATGTGTGACTTTTAAAAAGCAAATTTATTTTTAATTTTATTTAGTAAATAACTACTTAGCATATACAATGTTCTTGCAATTTTAAAAGTTAGCCACCTGATTGAAGTTTCAACTGTTGACAGTTAAATTTTTAATTTCAGATTATTTCACTAATATGCATACATATCTATATGGATTAGAATAGTTTCACTTTTGAAAATATTTTCTCTCTCTTACGGACATGCACAACGGTGTGGTGATGGCTGGGAAGAGGGGGTTGAAGGGAACTAAATGGTCATGGAAAAATACAACAAAGATAAAAAAATATTTTCTCTGAACTATTGCTGTTGTTTTTGCTTATTTTTATTACTTTTCATATCTTATAAAGAATGAAGACCTAAAATCCTAATAAGCATCAGCATAGTTAGTATTCCTTTTTTATCTTTAGCACAATATAAGGGTTTTGTATCAGTATTGTCAAAGACATAAATGAGAAAATCACAAAAGTTTACATCTGTAAAAATTTGGTAATCCTACCTTAAAATTATAGATTAGTTTACAAACCTTCCCTTACCTTCATTCTTTCAAATTGAGATAGAACTCTAAGTGCCCGAAGGAATTTAATGGAAGTAAGTGGTTTTAGTTCTTCCCGAGATTTGCCTATTAAGCTAAGACAAAACACCTAAAGAAAAATTTAAAAAATAATAGAATTTAATTTTAACTTTAACCAAAACAATCTATAAAATGAACTTTTTATTCATTACATAGAGATACATAGTCAAAGCCTACCAGGAAATATGCAAAAGCTTTAATATATATTTCAATATATCTTAACAATGACTTATATAGAAAGGCATAAGAAAATCATTTTGAGTTAAGATCACTTAAAAAAAGATACAATTTTCTGGAAATGAGAATACACATTATTGAAATAAACAAAATTTAGATATTTGACAGTCTAATTAATGATTAATAATTATATACATTTTAGTTTGAAATTAAATAAAATCAGCTTCATGATTCTTTTCAATATAGTAGTAGAATACAACATATTTATTAAAACAAAATTCAGAATATACTTACATATGAATCTATATATAAATAGTTAAGACAATATAGAGAATTAGATTTTAGAGGAGAGGTATCGAGAAGGATATGAATATTGTTATGTCCAAGTACAAAGTACAGGAAGATAGTAAGGTAATTTTTTAAAGTAAATATATGCATAAAAATGATTCAAGGTTCATAGATGTTAATGGAGATTGAGCAAGGTGGTAGAGTTATGATTAACTTTTATTGTACCTTCATATTTTCTATATTTACAAGGCAACATGATGAAAAAAAGTTATCCTCTATCAAAGAGAAGGTCTTGAAGTAGCCTTTGAAATAAGGGTATCATTTACCTAAGCATGGTGAACTATGGGCACAAGAACAAGGAAGGTGAGTTGCAGTCTGGTTTGGGTGTAGTAGAAGGTTACTTTGAAAAAGTTAATTTAGAAGACAGAGGTCAGATATTTTAAATTATTTGTAGACTGAGAGGTTTCAATTATTGCTGATAGAACTGGGAGTCATTTGTTTATTCAGCAAAATTACTGAATACCTACCATGTGACATAAATTATTCTAAAAATGGGGGATGAGGACAGAACCAATTTGAGGGTAAAAAATCTGCCTTAATGGGGCTTATCTTTCACTGGGGAAAGAAAGCAATAAGTGAAACCAATTAATAAATTATATACTATTAGTAGGTGCTTTGGAGATGAAGAAAGCAGAGAGAAGAAAAGGAAGTATTGGAGTGGTTGCATTACTTTTTCAACAAGGTAATGTGGAAAGACCTAACTTCAAAGTTTCATTTAAACAGACATAAAAGAGGTAAGCCAGCAAAACTTCCAGGTGGATGGAAGAGTAAGTGCAGAGGCACTAAATGGATGCAACCTTGGCGTATATGAGGCACTTCAAGAAGGCCAGCTGGTGGCACATAGACCAAGATGGGAAAAGGGAGAGTGGTGGGAGATAAGACTGGATTATGTAGAGACTTGTAGGACTTTTATTCTGAGTGAGACATAGCATTTATTGGAGGGTTTCAAGGAGAGAAGTGACTTGAGCTGACTTCCATTTTATGACAGGAAAATATACACGGTTGCTATGTAGAAAACAGAATGAAAATGTGCAGAGGTGGAAGCAAGAAGAGCACTTTGGAATATATTGCAGTGATCCAAATGAGCCTTTTTGGTTGCTTAGATCAGTGTGATACTGGTGCAAGTAATGAGGACTAGTCTCATTTTGAATATATAATGTTAAAGATTTTAAATGTTTCAGGATGCTGATGTTTTCAATATATTGTGCAATAAGTCTGTCTTGTTAGCAGTGGATACATACTTGACTGTTGGTAACTGCCCTGCCTGGTTTCAGAAGCTGTAACCCCCCATGGCTAAGGCTGAGTAAAAAGACCTTGGGACCATAAGCCATTAAGGGAACAAAGCTTATCTTCCTTGTAGGGACCCTGCCTCTGCCTCCTTTTACTTCACCCTGCTTGGTCCCCTACTGCATGAATGGTTAGCATGGGTAAGATTTCTCAAAGGAGGGATGAGCTAACACAGGCATGGTCATGAAGAGGCCATCAGGGAAGAACTTTGGGGGATATAGAAAAAGGGAGTGATGGAGCCTTGCCCCTTGGCTTTGACATGGCCTGAGTCCTCATTCTGCCTGCCCAAAGTCTCCTAATCTCTTGGCTGCCTTACTTCCCCTACTAACTTAAGCCTGAAACAATGCCAGGGGTAGGTGTGGCCCTGTGCTGGAAAGGGCAGGTTCCCTGGGCCCCCATCAGGCCTAAGAAAGAATGCACAAAATCCTGTGAAACCTGCTTTGCTAAGACCTTCAATTTAAATGATAAGGGACCAAGCAGGAAATGAGTTTGTTTCCCCAAAGTTTTATGGCCCTTTAGCTATCTGACCCTGACTCAGAATAAGCCCTCATAGTTCTTTGAATGTTATCTATAGTTTGATCATTACTGCCTGACAATGATTGATGAGCTTTACATATATGCCCTGTATTTCTACGCAAATTAAACCCAATAAAAGCAAGTTGAGGAACAGGCTCCTGGCCCTTCTCTTTTGAGAGATCAGCCACCTTTCCTCCCTAATCAGATCATGTCTTGGCAGACTTATTCTTATCAGTGGTGGCCTGGGAGGCCCTGTGGGTGAAGCCCTCCCACACTTGACTATTAGAATAATCCAAGAAAGAAATAAGTGCAGAATTTTCCATTTTAGAATGAAAAGACAAGGATAAATATTAAACATTACAAATGAAGAAACATGGGATGTTGGTGATTAGAAGTGTACAAAGAGAGAAAAAAAGGAAGATACAAGAAAATGGAATCATAAAAAAGTAAGAGTAAACAAGAATCAACAAATCAAATAGGTTAAATTATTTTTTAAATACGTACAATAACAACCATGAAGTCTAGCCTGTACCAGCCATTAGTGAAATAGGCTTTAAAACCATATGCCATCCACTTTAGAAGCATTTCCAGAATGAAGATGTAAGTGAAGATCATGTCAGCATATTCTAATAAGGTTTTAATAGTCTTTCTTTGATCGATATATATATCTTCAAAAGCCTATAGGGAAAAAATTAAGGATTAGTGTATGTGTAATTTCTAAAAAGCCTTTTGGCAAGGAGGGGAGTGAAATACCATCTCTAGTAAGCAGATAGTGAGCAAAGTCCCAGGTTATAGTCCCAAGGGCTGGTAAACTTTGCTTGGATTTATTCACATAATCCCTAAGTATCATTTTTCTGATTCTATGCCTTAACAGACATTATTTGACCCTTACAACCACTTCTTATAAAAAGACTGAACTTAGCCTCATAATGGTTGTAAATAATGATCCATATCAGTTAAATATAATTTAAGAGGCAGAAATTTCAGTCACATCTGACGTGGCTCTTATCTCTAATTCTTTGTAGCCAACTCACAGATATACAACACTTGCTAATAACAGAGTAGAGATTTTTTAATGTTTTCAGATATCCATACAGTTATGTAAGAAAATGTCACAAAGATTGTTTTACTACAGAAATAATCAAAGTACACCAGTGGAAAGATATACATGTGAAATAAATCTATAGTAGTTTCTCCAAAGATTCTCATCTGGCAACCATTAAAATGTTCTCTGCATTTATGTGTTACTGTTCTGCTTGTTTTCTATTTCCATTTCTTTTGTTTTTTAGACTTAGAGGTTTATATGTGTTTATTGTCATTTTATTATGCATATTTTTTATCTTCTTTTTTTTCCTAAAGAAGATCCTTTAATATTTCATGTAATACTAGTTTGGTGGTGATAAACTCCTTTAGTTATTCTGTCTTTTTTTTTTTCCTTGTCTGGGAAGCTCTTTATATGTCCTTTAATTTTAAATGATAGTTATACTGAGTAGAGTTATCTTGTTTGTCGGGTCCTTGCTTTTCATCACTTTGAATATTCTTTGCCACTCTTTTCCAGCTTTCAAAGTCTCCATTAAGAAACAGCTGACAGTCTTATGGCAGCTCCCTTATAGGTAACTGCCTTTTTCCTTCCTGATTTTAACATTCTTTCTTCATTTTTAACCTTTGGCATTTTAATTATGATGTGTCTTGGTGTGAGCCTCTTTAGGTTCATCTTGTTTGGGACTCTCTGTGCTTCCTGGACTTGTGTGTTTACTTCCTTCACGAGGTTAAGAAAATTTTCTGTCATTATTTTTTTCAGAATAGTTTTCAATTTGCTTCTCTGTCTCTTCTCCTTTATATACTCCATGATGCAACTGTTGGTACACTTTAAGTTGTCCCAGAGGTTTCTTATACTATCCTCATTTTCTTATTTTTTTTCCTTTTTGCTGTTTTGATTAGGCATTTTCTATCTCTCATTAGGTATTTTCTATCTCTATTAGGTATTTTTTATCTCTCATATCTCTGATTTGATCCTCTGCTTCATCTACTCCATTCTCAATTCCTTGCAATATATTCTTCGTTTCAGTTAATGTAGTCTTAATTTGTGACTGGTTCGTTTTTGTTTTCTAGTTCCAGTTTTGTTTCCTATTCTTTGTTGAAGTTCTCACTAAATTCATCTACTGTTCTTCTAAGTTCACTGAGTATACTTTTCAGCAGTGTTTTGAACTCTACATCCAGTAAATTGCTTGTCTCCATTCTGTTTAGTTCTTTTTCCTAATTTTTGTTCTATTCTTTCATTTGGGACATGTTTTTTTGTCTCCTCATTTTGGCAGCCTCCCTGTGTTTGTTTCTATGTGTTAGAGCTGCTATGTGACCCCAGACTTGGTAGAGTGGCTGTATGTAGTAGGTGTCCTGTAAGTTCCAGTGGAATAGGCTTCCCATTTACTTGATCTGGGCACTCCAGCTGTGCTTCCCATGAGGCTGAATGCACCCTCCTATTGTAGTTGGGCCTTGATTGCTGTTGGTACATCACTAGGAAGGATTTATTTCCAGGGCCATCAGATGGAAGGATTACCTTCAACCAGTGTGCAGGATCAACTGCATAGCAGCTGACCCCACAGAGCAGGATTTACTTCATTGAGGCATTGGTACCTGGTGAGTCTACCCTTTGAGTATGTTGTTTGTAGAAGTGGTTAGGTGGTGTTTCAATGTGGTCTGAAGTTGTCCACCAGGTGTATTGGCTCTGGATCCTCCAGGGAGGTTCAGACCAAGGTCAGTACCACTTATGTTCTGCCTTGGACCATCTGGAATAAACTACAAAGCAATGTGCAGGTGGCTGCTACTTGTGCTGGGCTTGGAGGTACCCAAAGAGGTCAACTGTGAACCACGGCCAGCTGATGCTAGTGCTGGATTTGGGGGCCAGTTAGTGAGAAGTACAGGGTTCATGGAGGCCAGCAGCTTATTTGGAAAGCAGCTGGAAAGCAGCTTATTTGGAAAAATGTTCTAATGAACATTTTTTAGGAAAGTCTGAAGCATGAACCAAGACAAGTCTTTCATATGAAAAAGGCACTGGAAACAGCTTGGATGAACCCAAAATTTGGGTGGGGTGGAGTCCAGGGAATCACCAGGGCAGGGCAAACAGTGATAGCCAGGTTGATGGAGACTCTGTGGAGGGAGTGCTCTGAAGAGGAGCAATGGCCAATGCCAGCACTTGTATCTGGGAGAAAGTTGCCCCTCCAACTCATGTCCTGATGCATGGGAATTCAGTTCCTCCCCGTATGTCCCTGGCACCTTTCAAGCTGCCATCCCAGTGCTGGAGCTCAGAGAAAGTGAATGAAAAATTCGTGCATAGGACCTTAAAGAGGATGGGTCCTTTAAGAGGAGCACCTTGGACTCCAGGAGCCTCTGTTCCACTCAGCCACAGTCCCTACTGTTTTTACAGTCAGAAGTTACAAGGACATCTGATACTAGAACTCTTGCTAATACTGGAACCCTGGGCTGGGGGACTCGCTACACAGCTGGGACTCCTGGCTCTCAAGGCTGATCTCTGCAGCTGAGATACCCCTCCTGATTTTTATCTGCCACATGTGGATATGGGATCAGCCTATTCCATGTGTCCTCCTACCAATCTCAGTGTGGCTTCTTCTTTATATCCTTAGTGGCAGGACTTCTCGTTCAGCTGAACGATGGTTTTTCTATAGTTTAGTTGTAATTTTGATGTGGTTGAAGAAGGATGTAGCACATTTACCTATGCTGTCTTCTTGACCAAAGGCCTAAACTTTGCCTTTTATATAAAACTTTATTAAAGTAAGAAGAATTAAGTATCTTTTTAACATTCTATTTTCCCACTGTCATTCATATTTTTTAAATAATGCATGTCTTTCAAAACTAAAATCACAGACTATGAACTCCAGTGCTACAATAAGCATTCTGGGGGAAACTAATTTGGTATGGAGACTGTACAAATTAACAGACTTCTAACATACTTTTACCATAAAAATCTCACCTACTTTCACTTACCAGAGCACCTGTGCTGAGCAAAGTGACAAGGCCAATGAAACACTTAAAAAAACTGTTTTCTACTATCTTGCAGCAGGTTTTCCTTATGTTTGGCCAAACTTTTCCCCTCTTGGATTCTCTACTGATTTGACCTGTTGAAGATCTTTGTTCATAGCCTGTCAAGAATAAAACTGTTAAGAAGAAAAATCTTGGAAATTCATGAAAAAAAAAAACCCTAAGTTTCTATCATACGCTCTCAATTATTTATTTACAGAATCTAATACAGGTGGTCTCTGACTTAAAAACATTTGATTTTTACCCTTGCTGCACTGAACACACATAAAAATACATACATACAACATCTTCTGAATATCACATTTTGGTAGAATGCCTGGAAGTTTTATTCTCTTAAAATTCACATGGCGAAACAAACATTCCCATTTAGATTCACAAACATGTATGAAATATTAAATGGTATACTATCAGTTAAGTCAGTTAAGTTAACTTCAGTTATTAGATAGCATGGAAACAGGAATCTTGTTTGAGATTCTTTAAGGAGCGGCCCTGGGTTGTGGAGTACTTTGTGCGAAGGGTATATGTGCATGGGATTCGGACTCCACCTTTTAGTCAAGAGTTAGCATAAGGCAACTAAGGATAATGGGATGGTTAGCCTGTAAGAAAATGAGGAAATGAAGGTGGGTTGAGTTATTTTAGAATTTTACTTAATGTCAATTTATACATCTTTGGTAAAAAAAAATAGGAAATAACTTCTTTATTTGTTTTGGATGATAATAAGGCCTACAACTCAAGCTACTGAGAGAAGATTCTTATTTTGACTATAAGAATTTGAGCATTTAACAGTTTTCATTTTGAAGATTTCCAGTGATTTCAAATGTCTAGACCTTGTAGTCATCTGCTAATCTTTCTAGGAAATTAATTTTAATTATAAGTTATCAAGAGATGTATCTTACATGTCTAGTGAGTCAACCAACTGGAGTCTTATATATTTGTTAATATCCATGTGGTGTGCAAAAATATATCACGATTACATGATTTGTTTTTCTATGAAAATTATAAGATGTTTTCATATGAGTATTTAAAAATTTACTCCATTCCAAGATGCATAATACTACATATACACATAACCTTTTTAAATAATAAGGTACATTTTATCATTATCTTTAGTGTACAATAGTAGGAAATGAGTCAGAGAGAGGGAAGTAAAAGTAAAAGACTGGGATTTGAACCCAAGCTGTCTGATTCCAGAGCCCACACTACTATATTAGACACCCTCGGAAATAGGCTCTTTTCCTTTTTTTCCAAATGTTGACTTTTTCTTGACATTTATTTTAATTTTCTATCAGAATTCATGTGGACACTTGTGCGTGTGTGTGCACACACACTGTGTGTGTTCCTCAACCAAATTAATCAGTTCTCTAAAATTAAAAGTATATCCAATAGTACTACTTAGTTTAAATGAAATTTAGTCTGATTCCAATATAATAATCAAGGAAAGTTTTCTCTTACTGTTTTTACGATGCTTTGGCTTTTCATGTTCATAGATCATTTCTTCTTCAGAGATCGCGATGTCGACTGTACTGCACTCAGATGAGCTGGATGGCTTTACTTTCTGAAAAGTAAGGTCCCACCAAAAATGTGAATAAAGTTTCATTTACTCATTGTAGTTAAAGTTTACTTCATTTTTAGAAATAAGAAAAATTATGCACACAAAGACTATTCTTGGGCCAAGTGCATGACTGATGTTAAAGTGCATACATATCTTAATGAGCTGATGGTTTTAAAAATTATTTTTAAAAATTAATTTAAGATAAAATAATTTCAGATTAAGTGTAACATTTAGTTGATACCACTGTCCTCCCAAAAAATGTATAGGCTATTTCCAGTTTTCAAAAGTGTTTGAGTTCCAAGCTTTCCTGAAGTTATTCATAAGGTCTTGGCATGGCTATTTCAAGTAATGATTAACATCAGAATAAATTACTCCTTTAAAGATGGGTAGACAAGTATACTTAGTGTTTATTGTAAATTCCATTCTAAACATTCTTATGTATGTCCTCATAGGACAAGATGGATGTGATGTTACCTTGAAGTGCAATGAAGAAATGGTGTGAGAAATAAGGTCAAGAATAGACAGGAGGAAGTGGTCCCAACCCTATGGGAAGAAGTTAGTTGCAAAGATTGTCTGTTCTTGACTGAAGTTCAAGACTGGCTAGAGTAAGGTAGTCAGAACTTTGTACATGTGGTAACAATGCAAATGACATGCTTGGCCTTGACTTGAAATGATTTTCTTAAAATACTTTATTTTGCTTTACTTAAAGTGAATATGGAGTATACCATCCTTTAAAATTACAAAAATCATAAAGTTAATAGCATAAAAATTATTTTCTAATTTCAAAAATTAAGTATTTAAAACATTTAAAAACAAAACAGTTATGTCTTAAAAATTAAGGAAAGCCTTACTTAGGTAGGTTATATAAAAAGGAAATAAATATTTTGTCCTAATTCTTTGTCTTATGCACAAGAAGTGTCAATGAAATATAATTAGGAACTTTGCTTAATCCCTAATGGTAATTGTCAGTAATATATTATAGTGCTCAATTAAAAAAATATATCCATGTAGTATTCTTTTTTCATTGACTGGCTTATTTCACTTAGCATAATATTCTCCAGGCCCGTCCATGCTGTTGCAAAGGGTAAGAGTTTCTTCTTTTTTACTGATACATACCGACATATACCACATGATCTTATTTATATGTGGAGTCTGACAAACACAATAAACTAGTGAATAAAATAGAAACATAAGCATAGACACATGTAACAGACTGACAGCTGCCAGAGGGGAGGAGGGGGACTAGATGACAGATGGTGACAGGATTCATCAAAGAACATGTGTGCATGATCCCTGGACATGGACAATGATCTAGGGACTGATGGAGGGAGCAGAAAGGGTGGAGCTGGATGGAGGTGGAAAAAGAGAAAAGAAGCAGGAACAACTATAATAGCACAAACAATAAAAAGTAAGTAATTAAATAAAGTACAAAAGCAGAATATTACTATTAAGTAAGTCAATTATTTTATTACTTCATTTATCTTAAATTCCATTGATTGCTTATGAACTAAAGGCTACAGCAATGCACTGTTTTAGAAGTGGACAATAAATAAATAAATATTATATAATGTTTGGGCATTCAATAATTGAAAATTTTATATCTTATATTTATGTCTTTTTAGAGGTCTCAAACCAATTGCATATAAAATTGTTGATTGTATTTTTTCCTGAATCTGTACTTATTTATATATTATTTTAAATTTATAAATAAATCAAGAATCAAAATTATAAATAATTTATTGTAGTAGGTGATTAATGGCATGAGAATATGACCATGATTTGTTGCTACCTTGTGAAAGTTATAAAACCCAATGCAAAGTTTGATGTTATTTTTATAAAATTTATATAGTTAAATATTTATAATAAAAAAAGGCTGAAAGTTTAAATACCAAAGATATAACAATATATAACTCTGGCTCTGGCTGGTGTGGCTCGGTGGATTGAGTGCTGGCCTACAACCCAAAAAGTCGCTGGTTTGATTCCCAGTCAGAACACATGCCTGGGTTCTGGGGCCAGATCCCCAGTTGGGGGTGTGTGTGAGAGACAACCAACTGATGGTTGCCTCTCTGTCCTTTTTTCCTTTTCTTTCCCTCTCTCTAGAAATGAATAAATAAAATCTTTAAAAATAGTATATATCCCAAATTATCAAATCACATGTGATATTTATAGTTTATTCTTTGGCTTTTGGTAGATTAAGATCCTAAATATTCATGACCTATATAATCTGGAAAGTGTCTAATTAAGTATATAACTAAACATACAAATAAGTGAACAAATCTATGAGTAGTTAAGCAATCAACAAGACTAAATAATTATACAGAAGTAAATTACAACTTCTGCAACAATATTTACAATCATATTTAATTCCTTCTTTCCTTTACAATTTATATCCCAGACTTTGTAATAAGATTTCAAAAGGGGTTTCCCAGAACATCTTGACATGATATGCCGTGACAAATAGCAATTTTACCTAAAGATGGACGGTAGTCAAGGTCTTAAGTGAAGATACAGAACTGTGCTGGAGAGAAATTTTTCCTGTTGTCTCATAATGATATCAACTAGAGGAAAATAAAACTGAGAATGGGTATGCTAAGGAGTGAAAGTTTCTCTAAAACAAAGATAACTTCACTAAGAGCTAGAAAGACTTTGAAAAATTAAAACTTGACTTCTACTATAAGACCAGTTTCAAAAATTATTGCCCAGAGCAGCTGTTAAGCCAGATAAGGTTTGGAAAACAAGATGGTGCCAGAGAATTTGGGGACCTAGAAGGAGACATTCTTTGATCTTTCCTCCCCAGTGTCTATAAGTGATGTGAGATGAGTCCCTAGTGAGTTCCAATGCAAGAAGCCTCCAGCATGTTGTGATCCATGTAGATGTAGTTTTCTGTTAAACTACATCTCCTACTAAGACAGTAAGCTGCTTGCAAATGAAGACACTAAAGCTGTATGCAGTAGGGTGTATGCATGTGAACAGCAATGTCTACCCTTCATTGAATGCGTCTTCCTCTTTTTTCCAGAAGTTTATAAAGCAGATCAAACTGTTGGTTTCTCTATATTTATTTAGCCCAATTCAATTTTAATTCATATGTTATATGTTGCTGAATAAACTGGCAAGAATCTTAAAATTTTAGCAAGCAAAAAAGTATCTTAGCTGGATTAAGGTACTGGACTACTGCTGTAGCCCAATTTCACATTTTAAGGATGCCAGAGAGTTTAATGATTTCTCCAGTAATACATATTGATTTTGAAAACTTAGTTTTCATCAGTATGCTTTTTATCATCTCACATTGTCTGCTTATTAATTTATAGAATTTTATATTTATATTATCTAATGTTTATGAAGTACTTATTATATAGGGCATTTATGCACTACTCAACTATTATTCTTAATTTTTCTACCTTCCCTTAGAAATAGATGCAGTTTTATCCTCATCTGTAAACCGAAGTTTAGAAAGTTTAAGAAACTTAATCAGGAGCAAGGAATACTATTGCTAGGACTGAGTAAATAATCTAATTCTAGAGCTTCACTGTTCATTCACTTTCTTATCAACAATGCCATACATCAGTAACAAGCCATCAGAATATTGACCATCTTACCTCTTTGCTGCTGCCATAGCCCGACTTGTTCTGAATCTCCTTATTATCCAGGTTTTCTATGTCAGATTCTCCTGAAGCCATTGGTATAGTTTCAGAGACAGTAGGGCTGGAGATAAGTGATTGATTTGCATTTTCAGTCATTGTGTTTTTCTCCCTGCTACTGCTTCTTTCCTTGTCCTTGAGGAAATCTTGGGTGTTGCTCAAGTCAGAAAGGGTGTGGTCAGAAATATTCTCTTTAACATATGTATCATTTACACTGTCCACTGTGTCCTTGGGAACATTTTGTCTTTTACATAATATTTTAGAAAGCATATAGTGTATTCCTTTCTTAATCCTTGCCATTGCACGCTGGAGATTTTTTGCTTCATCGTTCTCTTCCATTGTGGTAGCATTGTATGAGCTAAAGGAGGTCACCAATGCCAGAAACACGTAAAGAATCTAAATAAACAAGTAAATGAGGTACATGAGGTTACACATATCTCATTTTTGTTTCTTTTTAAACAATAAAAAATCCTCTAAAGAGGCTGAACCGAGATTTGAAAACAGCATATGAACTACCATGCTACTCGGTTCTTACTCATCCACAGCGGGTTGGGGCTGTGCTAGAGGTTTGCATAGCTGGAACTCATCTTAACGTCACAACATTCTATGAAATATTTGTTTCTATTTTATAGAGGAAAAAGGCAAGGTTTACAGATGTCAAATATCAAATATCACACAGGTGGTCTTTGACTCAAGTCTGTCTTATTCCAAAGCTTGTTTTCTTTCACAGGTCCAAGCTGCCTCTCCCAAGGTGAGAAAATGAATTGCTGCTCCAGGTGGCTGATTTCACTTCAGCCCCATCCCAGGAAAAGGGCTAGTGACATCTTCATGAGTTCTGCAAACCTGTAAGGAATCTCACCGAGAGAGAGCTATTCCTGGTTCTGGGGCCCACATCTAAGTTGTATTAAATTATATGAGCACAGGATTGGATAGGTTAATCAATTATTTGTGGTAATAAATTTGGTCAAATAAGAAAGAGATAAATGATAGAATATTACTAACACTTGTAAGTTATTCAAACTCAGGGAGAGTGTATATTTTGATCTTTACTATATCACTGAGAAATATGATCAAAGCATGTTCAGTTTCCAGAGAATAAGATTTTTATCCTGTTTATAATTGTAGGGTATACATTCTAGTGTTAAGAATTAATTATTCTCTTAGACTTAAAGTAATAATTTGAGCATGTTTCCTACTATAGAAGTTTCCTCTCCTCTTTTCAGATATTTGAGTTTAAGATTATTAATTTTATGCCTTACATATTACTTTTAGAGGGCAATGTTCAAATGACATATATATACACACACACATATATATACATACACATACACATACACATACGTCCTTATTTAACATCATCCACAGATCCTTGGAAACTACGACTTTAAGGGAAACGTGTTGTTTCCCTTAACAAAGCCAATTTCACCACGGGCTAATTGGTATAATAAGAGCTAAGTTCCTACAGCATATTTCTGGTCACAAAACATCACCAAACTTCTAAATTAAGACACCCCAAATTTCTAATATTAAACAATCAAATGAATGTGAGCTATACATACATTTAAGAAACATTAATAAAAATAAGACAATTATTTTCCAACTCGCTTGTTTTACTCCAGCGTCATAGGTGGGTGGCCTAAATGACATGAAGCAAAATGATGTTATTGGAGGAACTGCTGTATATGTAACTCACAGAAGTCTTTCTTGCCTGTGTTTCTGATTTCTTTACACATTAGGATCTGCTGTTTGAAATACTTATACTGACAATCTATGTGTACATAAGGTAAAATAAGTACATAAAAGTCTCCAACACTTGTTTGTGAAAACTTTTTCAGAATATTGGGTCTACGTGAAGAGATGAAGTTCTCAGATACTCTGGTAATTACTTTCTCGTGCACACACCTGAGAAAATATGAGCTGCTCACCATGTGGTGTTCAATCCTAATGGACCACTTTTACTTCTCTGTAACTGTATCTTCATATACATAGAAATAGATAAATTTTAGTATCGATTCTAAATGTGACAAATAAATATTTGTTGGAAAATTAATAAGACTCATATGGGAAAAAAGAATAAATAAATAAGAGTCATATGGGAAAAATAAGAATATTATTGCACATACTAATGTCATCAAATATATCATCTTAATCTTAAACATATTTTGGTGTAGCAATAAAATGTAGAGTACACAATGGTTTGAAATTGAAAATTTCTTACAGGTGAGATTATCTGAACAATTCATGTGTTTTCTATACCCTACAATGACAGAGTTTCAGAAGGCAAACTAAAAACAAAAAGAGAAACAAAAGCATAACTGGAAATACAATGATCAAATGCTAATACCCCAGGGATTCATATAGTTGTCCTCATTACAGTTCTTTCTTTGACAACAAGGTTTACTTACAGATTATGTGAGCAGGGGCTCCATGACCCTTATAGAACCTACACTATTAACACCTCTATTATTTTCAAAGGATACTAAGTTCTAGATATAAAAGAGAAAGACCAAATACAATTTAAGGTAGTTGGTTGTTTCTTTTCTCCTCTGTTTGGTTAAGTATTAGTCATGATGACAAGTAAGAAATGGGTGTTCAGTAAAAATGTCGTGACTATAAGCCTCATCTGACCAGGAGCCACATTTTCTCCTAAGTAGACTAGACTAGGGCACAACGTTAGGCACAATGTGAGTGACAAATAAATATTTGTTGGAATATTAATTAGAGTAAATAAAAGAATAGATTCTGTGCCAGAATTTGGATAAGTGAAAATTATGCTACAACAATTATATTTTTAAGAGTTTGTAATATAAGCTTTCTTATATTGTAAGTATACACACACACCTCCAAATGCATACCTCCCCACATACATGCATAAATACCTATATAATAGCAATGTTAAAAGGCTGAATATAAAGTTTGAAATACTCTGGAATTGTGGTACAAATAAAGAACGTTTAAACAATGTAAAATGCTTCTGCTCTGTTCAATGTGCTCTGAATTAAAAGTAGCCCGGTCTCTTAAAGGATTAAAAAGGAAAAAGAGGATGTGTAATGATTAAAGCTGGAGATTTGACTACCTTTAATTTTAGGATTAATAAAGAAGAAGAGAACACATAAATTATATTGTATACAGGGTTACTTTTTTCAGTCACAGTCCTATAACGAGATTCAAAACACATTTTTATTGCTTTTATGTTAGGAGGTAAAAGGTGAAATAATGTATATAAAATAAAACATTCAAAAGTCTCCCCTCAAATTTGCTCTCTCCTTTACCTATTGTGTGAGAATTGAGTAACTCTCAATTCTTCCACACTACATTATTAGTATGGAAGAGGAAGAAAATCAAGGTTTACTTAAGTAATTATTTTTCTGATTAGTGTTCAAAAATTTTAAATGTATTAAGACTCTTTTATTTCAATATTGTTCTGATTATATCTTAACTTATATTTAATTTGGAAATATATAAGTATGTATGGAATAACATACATATTATGATCAAATTTTTATTTATTTATTATTAAAAATATTATATTTATTTATTTTTAGAGAAAGGGGAAGGGAAGAAGAAAGAGTGGGAGAGAAACGTCAATGTGTGGTTGCCTCTCATGTGTCCCCTACTGGGGACCTGGCCCACAATCCATGCATGTGCCCTGACTGGGAATCGAACCTGTGACTCTTTGCTTCACAGGCCCATGCTCAATCCACTTAGCTACACCAGCCAGGAAATTTTTATTTTTAAAAGCAACTGAATTTGACTTCAGGTAGTAAACACACAATGCAATATACAGATAATATATTATAAAATTATACATTTGAAATTTATATAATTTTATTAACTGATGTCACCCCAGTAAATTTAATAAAAATAAATAAAAAGCAACTGGAATTTACATTGCTTTCTATTTCTTTTCATGTTTCTATTCCTCTTTGGTTTTTGTGACCTTAACCAGATACCACAATTTACTTGGTGACTATTTAAATTGCAGTCAATACATCCGGAAGGTACATAACTGAACCTTCTAAATAATGTTAAATAATTAACAAAATTCTGCAGATATGGGAGATGTGATTTTCTAGAGGCTAAAGAAAATAAAACAGACATTTATGAATATTTATAAAGTACTGATTTTATTTAAAGTATAATATCCTTAAGGCATATATTACTGTTTTGTTGATGCTCTTGTTAGATATTGTCAGGGTTTAAGAGGTTGTATAATATGCACAAAGTTGCTTAACTGGTAACTAATAGAACTAAAGTTTGAACCTGTGTTTGCCTAGATCTGAACTATGTACTTTTTTCTATAACTCAACACTGTTGAAAAGGCACTTTAGGTACCTGCTTTTGTATATGATGAGTTTTTTAAGGCTTCCACTTATGACTCTGAATCACTATTGGAATTTTACTGAGTAAATAAGATAAAATTAAATTAAAACATTCTACATACCTTCTTTTTACACTAAATCTGTAGTTTTGGTGTGGAATTACAATGCTTTAGTGCAATGAGTTAGAAGTATGTGGGAAAAAATCTACAAGTTCAAAAATTCTCTCCTTGCATTTTTACCTTGTATTTACTCAATTGTCATTATCATAATGCCCCATAGCTGAATGACTCTTGAGGGCTATAAAGCTTAAAAGATTTAAGAAGCCAAGCAATATAATGGCCCATCAATGAGCTGTGGAAGAAGTTGATGTAACTCTTTATCCTGAAATCCCTCTGCCCATAGACTTAAAGTTTCTGATCAGTAGGAATAAGAAAAATGAGAAACAGGGTAGAATCCAAAACCAAAGAAATACAGTTACATAATTACATCAGCATTTTTGTTTCTCTGGTTTTGACTGTGTGTGTGCGGGTGTGGTTGTTCACCTTGACATCCATCAGCTATAGTCGTTTCTTTGGGAATGGAAACGTACATTTCATTTGGGAAACCACCCTTATGCCATTATCTGGGTGTGTATTGACATCATCTCTACCTTTGAGAGGACTCTGAGTGGGATAACGTAGTAACATATGTTAACTTGATGTGATAGGCAGACACGAAGCTTTAGAGAAGCAGCCATCTTGCTAAAACAGAGGATACCAGCAAGTAAGAGGCATAGAAAAAGGCAGGTATGAAATGTTACACAAAACCCTGTTTCTAAAGATCCTGTTTGCCCATATGTGTCAATGAAGTGAAACTGATATTTTGAGTTACATATGCTGATACATATGCTCATTTTTGTTTCAGCCAGTTAGAATTCTGTTTATGTTGCTCAGAGTTGAAAATGTACTAACAGCTACAAAGGCAGAAGATATCGAAGTGTGTTTCCTCATTGGGCACTGTTCTGGACTTTGCTGATACAGACAACTGTCTTGATCCCACCTTTCAAGGAGAAGTTTAAGAAGAAAGATAGACAAGTACATCAACAACGAAGCATAGCAGTAATGTGACGAGTGTATGCCAAGGGCCAAGACCAGGGTGAACAGAAGCAACAAGGAAGGCTACCAGTACAATGTAGTCTGACCAGTGATTTATTTTCAGACTTTTGGGAAATGCACTTAATCTCTATCACTTATAAGTGAAAAGCGACTATTGAGTCCTGTTTTCTTTCCCTGTAAGAACAATTTTCTTTTTTTTAAATTAAATTTATTTATCTTTAGAAGGGAAGGGAAGGAGAGAAGAAGAGAAATATCAATGTATGGTTGCCTCTCCTGCTTCCCCTGCTGGGAACTGGCCTGCAACCCAGGCATGTGCCCTGACTGGGAATCGAACCACAATCCTTTGGTTCACAGGCCCACACTTAATTCACTGAGCTACACCAGCCAGGGCAGAACAATTTTCTTTTATAAGCCATTCCTTTTCTTAGGAGAAGTAACAGCTACTTACTCAATTCATATAGCACCACTTTAATTATGGGAAATTTAAAAGTGAAAGCTTTCTCTCTTAGTTAATGCATAACAGTTTTATAGACCAGTGGATCTCAAACTTTGCTGCACAATGTAATTAAACAGGGATTCTCAAAAAATTCTGATGACCAGGCTACATCCACGTATGAATAAAATTAGACTATTTGGGAATGGGTTCAAGATATTAGTATATTTTTATTAATACCCTAATGTGCCTCCAAGTTTCACAATCAGTGTTATGTCTAAGTGCTTCTTAACATTTAAAGTGCACACAAATCACCTGGGGATATTTTTAAACTGGATTCCACTCCCATGGCTCTGGGACGTGGTCTGAGAGTCTGCATTGACAGCTCTCCCCCACATCGTGCTAAGGCTGCTTTGAGTAGCAGGGTTAGAAATCAGCGCTGTCCAATAGAAGTAAGATGCACATCGCATATGCAAATTTTTAGTAGCCACATTCAAAGCATAAACAAAAAGAGGCAGCATTATTCTGCTAACATTTTATTTCACTAAATTTATAAAAATATTTTAAAAATTGTAATTCAATATAAAATTATTAATGAACTAATTTACCTTTTGTGGGGGGTAAGACCTCAAATTCAGCAGATGGTTTTTTTACTTGGGGCACATGTGACATTAGACCACTCATATTCCAACTGATCAATAGCCGCATGTGGTTAGGTGCTATCATATTGAACAGCACAGATACAGACCACTGGATCCCACAAATGTACATCAGGAAAACACTAGACTGTACTACATCAGTTTGTCCAGGAAAATTAAAAAACATGGATTACTTACCAGTAAGTTTCCAATTAAAATGACCATCATGTAAAAAGGAATACAACTGAATTGGCCTGCTACGTTAAAGCAGTCCCACAAAGTCTCTATCCACTCTCCACAGAGAATCCGGAACACGTTCAGGAAGGAGTGGAAGAAATCAATCATGTGCCAGCGTGGGGGCTGACAGTCTTCGTCTAAGTTGTAGACATACTGCCAGTAACTGAAACCGAACAGCTTCATGCCGACCACAGCAGAAAAGAACACGAATGTGAACAACAGCAGGATCAAGTCTTTCAAGGCCACCAGTGAGTTATTAAGAGTCAGCATCAGAATCTTAAATGTCAGCCAGTATTTCCCCAACTTAAAGATTCGCAACTTGTAGAGCAATGTAAAAAACAAGAATAAGAAACAAAATTTTTAAAACTTGGTTACTATTTATTGCAATACACATTTAAAAAATTTTATCAGCATTGTATACATTCACATATATAGTCTTCAAGGTAATATTTGGTTTTGAGTATTGTTAAAACTAACTACTGAAAATTCATTTTATGTACAATTTTTAGTACATCATAGATATTCTGTAACGTTTTACATGAAATTCATATATGACGTATGTCCTCTTCTATTGATCTGCAATGCCCATTCAACAGTATACTATTTAAATTGCTCTAGCTTATGTTTTAATACCTGGTAGGACAACTATCCATTCTCTGTTTTGCTTTTCACAATATATCAGATATTTTTCCACATTCCAACATACAGATAATATTGAAAAAAAACTTGTCACTTTTCACTGAATTCCACTGAAGGTTCTATTGTGCATTTCCCTTTTAAAGTAACACATTAAAGACCAAACAAAACATTCTAGTTTTAGTCTGAATATTTCCCTCCTATTCATTAAATTTTTTATTTCTATGGATATAGCAGATTACCTCAATATTTTAGCCATGATATAAAATGAATTTAGTCATCTAAAACTCATACATCATTTTTATATGTGTTATATCTTCCCTAACTTTCTGGACCTTACATTTATCCATGTAAAACTTAATTATCTTATATTCCATCCATTAGTAGCCTTTCAGATATTTTCATCCTGTCTTTGATTGAATTTTCTGTATCTCCCACTCTTGTTTCATCCATATATGGTGGTAACTACATCTCGTATATATTTCTCTCACTCATTAGAAAGTTTATGTATGAGGATTGTAGACAGGTTGTTCTTGATTTCTGCTGCATTTCTTCACCTTGTTATCAGACTCTGACAATATATTACTTATCAAAAGTTTAAGATGTTCATAAAAATCATTCTCACAATAATATTTCCTTGTCTAGTTTTCTGATTCTTAACAACTACCCTTCACAGCAGACATATACTGATTCTGACTTAATATTTTTTTATAAAAAGATTCTGCTGGCCTCATTGGTATTATAAAAAGTTCTCCACCATACACTTAGAAATACCTGATTCCAGTTTCTTAGTTACAAATTAAGACTCAGCTTCTGGGGCTCTTCATTACCATCCTCCTCAAAATGGGCCCAATATCTGGCCCCGATCCCTAGAACTCACATCTCAAATGCTACATATATGGCTTATTTCCTTTAATGCTTTGCTTAAATAATAGCATTGGAGACTCCTTCCTTACTCTTTCCTGAGGCAGTACTAACTCATGTTCCAATGACATTATTGTTATTCTTCTCATTTCACATCTGAGGAAACTGAGATAAATTTTCATAAAACAAAATTTAGGTCTTAGATTCTATTCTACTTACCACCTGGAATAAATGAAAGGAAGGCAATCCATAAACTCTCGTCACAAAAAGCTCTGCTAAACCATGGAACACGATTAGGCTGTCATAAATGTTCCAGCCTACTTGGAAATACCTATATGGATGCATAGCAATTATTTTAAAAATCATTTCTGTTGTGAAAATTCCAATAAAAACCTAAACAAAAACAAAACGCATGGATGAGAATGTGATTTCAATAGCTTAATCAGAAGCTTCCTGCACAAAAACTGTAACTTTTCAATGTTACTATGTTGCTCTTTGTTCCTCTGTTAATATCTGATTAGTTTTGGAGTCTGTACTACAATAGACTCATAATATGTTATTTAAGAATCTGATATCAAGCATTATATACAAAATCTTCAATTATTTTTAAAAGCTAGTCTGGAAGAAAACTTAAAAAAATTCGAGGGTAAAAGCTTTTCATTTTTGATAGTTCGTTTTGGTTATGGAATATTTAAGATATTTAATTTTTCAACTTGTAAAGGAATAAGAGAAGTACATGTATGACCCCTGCAAAAAAAACAACAACAGAAAAAACCTATGAAAACTGTCTTTTGAAGACTATATTGGCAATAATAACTAAATTATGGTTTTGGTATCAAGTAAATGTATAATTCAAAAATGGTAGCAGTTTGGCTGTTTGTATGAGTACCAAGCAACTAAATAATAACAACACTAATAAAAGGAAAAAAATCAAGCACTATATATTTGCTTAAATGTGACTTGTTTTTAAATTCATAAAAACGTTTTGCCTCTTGCATTGTACAGGATGAAAAGAATAGGTGAATCTCAACAATACCTTGCTACAAATAAGCTCCAATCTAAGGCAAAGACAGGTGGTGAAAGTGGACAGGGTCAAGTACAGTTGTAGTCAGGATTCAGAATCAGGTGTCAGTGAAGAACTTGTATCTGTTGTTTGACTCAGGCCCTACTCTGATCTGTCGGGCTATGTTACCCAGAGAGGGTATACTTGGGAAGAGAGAGGAAAGAAATAATTTCCACTTAACCAGACTACCAAGCAGCTGGAGAGAAATCCCAAATTTAAATGGCAGAATTTTAAACTCTAGTATAAATCTATTCAGTGATAAGATTTATAAAGCAAGGTTTGGAGTGGTGCAGTGGGGAAGCATAACACAATACTCCACCTAGTGATTGTGTAATGTATTCGTAATACATTAGAATTATAAAATAAAATAATGGGATGATGATGACTTAAAAAATTGAAATTGCAAGTGAAAATAATGTAGAGTAAAAGCCTTACCAGGTTTCCAATGCTGAGTACATTGATGGTTTCTTCACTCATTGGGTAACATTCCAAGGCCAAAAAAAATATGTTTAGAATTATGCATACAGTTAGAAAAAGATCGGTAAATGGGTGTGTCACAATCACATGGGCAAACTCTTTCAGTTTTAACCAACAGGGAGAACAATTCCAGATCAGAATCATTTTAGCAAATTTATACCAACACAAGGGACATCTCTTCCGAGATTTTTTACGTTCTGAAATAAAAGAGAAGTCAAGCTTAAGAGAGTTGTTTATTTAAGTTTAACTAATAGAAAATTTTCATTTTGCACACAAAAAGAGATTTGAAACTAAACTTCAGATATGGAACTAGCAGATAAATATTTTATACTAATAAAAATCAGAGTAAAGCAAACACCCTCTATTTTGTTCATGCTCGCTGAACTGGACAAATGAAAATGAGACAAACTGTATACTAGGAGCAAAACATAGGAACGCCTGCCAAAAAATCACCCAAATATGGAATATATAGTTGAGAGTATCACAATTTATGGTTTCTAGATCTATATGTTTTACAAAATAATGCCTTTCAATATTGGCCATGATAATAAGTTTCTTGTTAAATGTTACAAAAGCAGAGTCAATATAAAAGGACCTGAGCATATTAATGTTTTATATAGATTCACATTCCAAGCTCTATTTTTAGTTACAAATTGCTACTTCTATGTCATTTTCAATGTTAAAAAATTTCCTTGGAACTATTTGGTAATCCTTTCCAACACTTTAAAACACTATGTTTATGGAATTTGTATAAATTGTTCATCCTAATATTCTAGGTTATTCCTTAAATTTTAGCATACAATAAAATTCTGAAGCAATTATACAATTTCTTTAAAGGTCAATCTTATGAATAGTACCTTTCATAGTGTCTAATTATTTTTTACTTTACCTTCTTTATGAGTGACAGTAGCATCATCCAACATATCTAAAGAAGTGATCATAGATGTTGGTGATCTTTTCTTCATTTCCATTTCTGTGGTTTCAATCTAAAAAAAATTTGATGAGTCTAATAGTGGCTGTTTCTCTCTGTAGATCCAAGACTATAATTACAATAAGTTTTATAACCTTCCCCCAAATGCTGATTTTTTACTTCAGAAGCTTTTTTAGTTTAACTTCTGGAAAATGTGTAAAACTTGCAACTCAACAACATAATTTTATAATATGAGGTGAATTATAAAAAGAGTAAATAATAGAATGGTGTTACCCATATTTGACAATTTGATGTATAATTTAGGATTATTGTAATACATAAAATTGGCTAACATGCTATTGAATAACAGTATTATTCTAACACCTGATTTCTTTTCCTTGAAAACACATCAAACCTCCTCTTAGAATCAATCTGAAATTCCAGCTAAATTGTACAGAAATCATCCTGAATAACCAACTGAAGACTAGCTGGGGAGAAGCCTTATAACAAAGGACTAATGTAAGTAATCACATCACCATATCAAGCCTGGTAGGAAATGTGGAGTCACAAGAGGGCTGGCTGAGCTCTCACAAGTGGCAGCTGAAATTTCTGAGGGATATTTCAGTGGTCAGGGGTTCCCTCTGAGACGTGTAGTATTTAAACACTAAGCTGGGCCCTCCGGCCTACAGCAAAGGACCTGACCCAGAAAGGAACCCAGATAACATGCAGCTGTGAAAAGCAGCAAGGTTTCTGTCTGCCAAGTTGGAGGGGCAGAGAGCCTCTTAAAGGGCCAGTGCACAAAATTTGCAGCCCTTTACCCACCCTGGGCTCCAATGGGCAGAAAGAGAACAGAGTAGACTAGAGATGATTGAGGATAGTCTGGGGATGGTGGCTCTGGGGAGAGAACTGAAGGAACAACTGCCAATATCCTTGTATTGAGTCATTCCACATACTGCAGAAACCACTCTTCTCAGGCAGAGTACTACTATCAAACTAGCATCAGCCTGGAGGGGAAGCAATAGCCCTGCCCACATGAATTGCTCTGCCACAACCTGTGGTGCTTAAAATGGGCTGCTGATTACAGCTTGAGACTATGCCATTGATTAGTTTAACAATTAAAGCATAAAGGGCAACCAATGAATGCATAAACAAGGTGTTTCTCTCTCGATCTCCCTCCCTTCTACCTTGCCACCCTCTCTTCTTCTCTTGAAACAAACAACACCCCCTTCCCCCAAAAAAAGTTAAGGGAAAAAATACAAAGAAGCAGCCAAAATGGGAAGACGAAGAAACAGACCCCAGATGAAAGAACAAGCAAACTCTTCAGAAGAACTAGATGAAACAGAGGGGAGCAATTTATCAGATGGAGACTTTAGAGTAAAGATTATAAAGATATTCAACAGCATGAAAAAATACATAGAAACCATAATAAAGGACCAGTCAGAAGTAAAGAATACAATATCTGAATTAAATAATATATTGGAAAGAATAAACAATAGGTTTAAACAGTAGTAGATGAAGCAGAGGTTCAAATCAATGATTTAGAACACAAGGTAGAGAAAAACACCCAAGCAGGGAAGCAAAAGGAAAAAAAAAGTTTTGAAAAATGAAGAGAGCTTAAGAAATACTTTGGGCAACACAAAGCATAACAACATTCACATGATGGGAATACCAGAAGGAACAGATAGAGAGCAAGCAGTCAAGAACCTATTTGAAGAAATAATGGCCAAAAACTTCCCCAATCCAGTGAAGAAAAAAGACACATGAGTCCAGGAAGCTCAGAGTGTTTCAAAAAAGTTGGACCCAAAGAGGCATACGCTGAGACACATCAAAATTAAAATGACAAGCCTTAAAGACAATGGGAGAATCCTAAAAACAACAAGGGGAAAGCAGGTAGTTACATACAAGGGAGCACCAACTAAACTGAATCATATTAACCATCTTATCTGACCACAATGCTATTAAACAAGAAATCAGTCAGAAGAAAAAAACTGACAAACACAGAAAGATGTAGAAGCCCAATAGCATGTTATTAAACAACGGATGGGTTAACAATGAGATCAAGGGAGAAATCAAAAGACACCTTTAAATGAATAAAAATGAGGATATAATATTCCAAAATCCCGTGGGATACTGGAAGAACAATCCTAAGAATGAAATTCATAGCATTGCAGGCCTATCTCAAAAAAAACAAAAAAAAGCTCAAATAAATTATCTAACTTCACACTTAAAGGAATAGGAAAAAGAACAACAAACAAAGCTCAAAGTGAGTAGAAGAAAGGAAATAAATAAATAAAGGTCATAGCAGACATAAGTAAAATAGAGTCTAAAAAAACCCCAATATAAAAGATCAATGAATCCAAGAGAGGATTCTTTGAAAAGATAAATAAGTTTGACAAAGCTTTAACCAGACTCTTTGAGACAAAAACAGAAAGGACCCAAATAAATATAATCAGAAATAAAAGATGAGAAATAATAATTGGCACCAAAGAAATACAAAGGATTGTAAGAAAGTATTATGAACAACAATATGCCAACAAACTGGACAACCTGGATGAAATGAACAAATTCGTACACACGTACAATCTTCCTAAACTAAATTGGGAAGAGTCAGAGATTCAGAATGGACAGATTACACCTAGTGCAATGGAAGCAGTCATCAAAAACTTCCAACAAACAAAAGCCCTGGAGCAGATGGTTTCACAGGTGAATTTTACCAAACATTCTGAGTAGAATTAACACCTCTTCTTGTCAAACTATTTCATAAAATTCAAGAGGAGGGAATGTTCCTAAGCATATCTTACAAGGCCAGGATTATCCTAATTCCGAAACCAGATAACAACACTACAAAGAAAGAAAATTAGAGGCCAATATCCCTGATGAACATAGATGCTAAAATCCTCAACAAAATATTCACAAACTGAATAAAGCAATGCATCAAAACTATCATACACCATGATCAAATGGGATTCATTCCAGCAATGCAAGGTTGGTACAACATTCACAAATCAACAAATGTGATCGGCCACATAAACAAAGTGAAAAATAAAAACCATATGATCATGTCAATAGATGCAGAAAAAGCTTTTTATAATATCCAGAACTGATTTATGATAAAAACTCTCAACAAAGTGGGAATAGATGGAATATACCTAAATATAATAAAGGCCACATATGACAAACTCAGTGCCCACATCATACTCAATGGGCAAAAAGTACAACTGTTCCCCATAAGATTGGGAACAAGACAGGGATGTGCACTTTTACCTATCTTATTCAACAGAGTACTCAAAGTCCTAGCCATAGCAATCAGACAAGAAGAAGAAAGAAAAGGCCTCCAGATTGGAAAGGAAGTAGTAAAATTGTCTTTATTCCCAGATGACATGATACTATACATAGATGACCCCAAAGATTCTACCAAGAAACTACTAGAACTGATCAGAGAATTCAGCAAAGTAGCAGGATATAAAATTAATATTCAGAAATTAGTTGCATTTTTATATGCCAATAACAGACTAACAGAAAAGAAAGTTAAAAAAACAATCCCATACACCAATTGCTTCAAAAAGTTAAAATGCCTAAAAATAAACCTTGGTTTTAAACCAATGAGGTAAAAAACCTATACTTGGAAAATTTTAAGACACTGAAGAAAGATATATAAGAAGATACAAATAAGTGGAAGCACATACTGTGTTCATGGATAGGAAGAATTAATGTCATTAAAATGTCCACATTACCCAAAGCAATTTATAGATTCAATGCAATTCCTATCATGATTCCAATAATGTATTTCACAGAAATAGAACAAATGTTTCAAAAATTTGTCCGGAACCACAAAAGGACCCACATAGCAACAGTGATCCCAAGAAAGCAGAACAAAATTGGAGAAACATACTACCTAATATCAAATTATACTAGGTGATAGTAATCAAAACAATATGGTACTGGCATGAAAAACAGGTACACAGATTGATAGAACAGACTAGAGAGCCCAGAATTAAACCAGCGCCTTTATAGTCATTAACATTCAATAGAGGAAGCAAGCAGATACAATGGGCTAAAGATAGTTTATGCAGTAATTGGTGTTAGGAAAATTGGACAGATATGTGCAGAGAAATAAAGCTAGACCACCTTCTCACACACAAGAATAAATCAAAGTAGATCAAAGACTTAGATGTTAGACTTGAAACCATAAAAATCCTAGAACAAAACATAGGCAGCAAAATCTCAGACATTGCTCATAGCAATATTTTACTGAATATATCTCCCCAAGGAAGGGAAACAAAAGTAATAATAAACAAATGGGACTACCTCAAACTAACAAGTTTTTGCGCAACAAAGGAAGTCATCAACAAAATAAAGAGACAACACAGAATGGGAGAACATATTCATCGATACATCTGATAAGAAATTAATATCCAAAATTTATAAAGTACTTACAAAAGTCAACACCAAAAAACCAAACAACCCAATTTTTAAAAAGGGCAAAGGTCTTGAATAGACACTTATCCAAAGAGGACATACAGATGACCAATAGACATATGAAAAGATGCTCAATGCCACTAATCCTCAGAGAAATGCAAATTAAACCCATAATGAGATAGCATCCCACATCTGTCAGAATGACCATCATCAGTAAATCAAGAAGCAAGTGCTGGTGAGGATGTAGAGAAAGGGGAACCCTTCTGCACTGTTGGTGGGAATGCAGATTGGTGCAGCCACTGTGGAAAGCAGGATGGAAATACCTCGAAAAATTAAAAATGGATCTGCTCTTCCCATGGACCTAGTATCCCACTTCAGGGATTATATCTGAAGGAACCCAAAACATTAATTCAAAAGAACATAAGCATCCCTATGGTAATTGCAACATTATTTACAATCACCGAGATATGGAAGCAGCTCAAGTGTCCACTAGTAGATGAGCCGATAAAACAACTATGGGACATTTACACAGCGGGATACTAGTTGGCCATAAAAAAGAAGAAAGCTTTACTGTTTTTTAGGTAACAATATGCTGAGTAAAATAATCCAGTTAGAGAAAAAGAAATACCGTATGATTTCACTCATATGTGGAACCTAATGAAAAAAGTCAACTAACAAGGAAAATGGGGACAGACTTACAGATACTACTAGTATTGGTAGTATTAGTAGTATTTGTTTTTGTGTGTCTGGCAGAACAAGCTTTTTAAGAAAACATAATCCCAACACCATTATCACAATCAGCAAAATTAATTCCTTAATATTATCCAATATTCAGACCATGCTGTTTCCTTTTATTGCTCAGAAACATTCTACTGTATTTGACTTTTTCCAGTAAAAATACAAATAAGAGCTACATATTGTATTTAGTTGGCAGGTCTATTGATCATCTTGTGGTTTAAACTTATTTTTTCCTATGTGACTCACTTGTTGAAGATCTGGGTCTTTTATACTGTAGAATTTTTACATTTTTTATTTGCTAGTTGTGTCCATTTAGCATTAATTTAATGTGTTCTTCTCTCTACTATGGTCTCTAGAAAAAGACAGATCTAGAGGCTTCTAAGACTTAGCTCAGATTTTACAAAAGAATGTATAGTATGTGGTATGTCATGTTTCCTATTTCATAACACTGGGAAACACATCTCTGGTGGTCCTAGAGTTATAATTTTGTGCATCCGATAATTTTATAGTCTATTTCCTTACTAGATCATTAGCTTCATGAAAATAGACACTATATTTGTGTTTATTAAATTTTTAAAAATCTTCAGTGCTCTTTATGTTTTATTTAACTTGGACAGGTGAGTTATAGAAACATCAGTTTGGTGGGCAAATAATTTGAAAATATTTATAATTCTGCAGTTGTATGTATCTGATTCTCTTCCTGAGTTTTTTCCAGTAACTAGCAATTTTTAGAAAAGTTTCACATGCGAACTGTGTAATTAATGGTATAATATTGTTCCAGCATTGGAACAATGAAGCAAAGGGTTTTTTTCCTCTGTGTTGGGAAATCAAATACCAATAAATATAGATCAAACTTTGCAACTAGAACTCAATGAGGATTGCATTTAAGAATTCATGAAGGCACTCATGTCTCGTATAGAGCTGATGCTCAATAAACATTATATTATTATCATCATTATCATTAATATTATTTTTTACTTCCACTAAAAAGGAATATAGTCAAAGACTTAACATTTAAATTTTTAAAAATATTTTATTTATTTCTTTTTAGAAAGAGGGGAAGGGAAGGAGTAAGAGTGGGAGAGAAACATCAATGTATGGTTGCCTCTCATGTGTCCCTCACTGGGGACCTGGCACACAACCCAGGCATGTGCCCTTCCTGGGAATCAAACCAGCGACCCTTTGCTTCACAGGCCCATGCCCAATCCACTGAGCTACATCAGCCAGGGAACGACTTAACATTTTATATCGATGAATTATTCTCTGTATGTACTGCTGGGCCTTTTTATGTTTTCTTTCTTGTGTTCCCTATAATTAGCCATTGACATTATTTTGGTTGCTCTGTACATTCTAAGAAGTACCAAGTGCTTAACATTAATTATTTCATTTGAATCCTACAAGAACCTATGAGACAGATACTATTACATATTGTAGATGGAAAAGCTGAAGTTTAGAAAAATTAAAAGAATTGGCAAATATCATACATTCATTAAGTGACTATGATGGACTGATATCCATTTTTACCTGACTGCAAACCTGTACTTTTAAAAGCCAAAATGATTTATTGGTTTTCTATAATGCCAGAATATGAAACACCTAAATACTCTTCCCATAATGTCAGCACTGGAATTAGAATCTGACTAGCCTTCATTCAGATGAATCACCTAAAGTGTCCTCAGTGTGCTCCATTTTAAGTTCTCTCTCCAGTGTTTTCTTATGAATACATTTAAAAAAAGAAAAGAGAAGAAATCGTATAAAAATGTTTCTCCCTCTTACTTCCTGGAAAACCTTTGCATGACAAAATGTTCTAGTACTCTTCCAAGAAAAGAAATCCTTTACAATTGATACATTTTATTTAAAATCAGAATGGCTCTGTGTGATCCACAGCAGCCAAATGAATGGGGATATTGGGCAATTAGGAAATGATCCAAGTTCTTAAGCAGAGTTAACAGGGCACATATCCTGGGATAAGAGAAGCATTGTGCTCTCGGATACATTTGTGTGTAGCCCTTGACATTTGAAATGTCACTTCAAAACAAATTACACATTCAACATATCATTCAGGCCATAATCATTCAATCTCAAGGACCCCAAACTCATTTCTACAAACAGAAAGCTTTTGTAATATTTTCTCTGAGACTTTCTCATGGGTGATATAATGGCTATATTCAATAGCTTCTTTTTATACATGTTTACCTCATATGGTCTATAACTGCTCCTTGTCTCAATGGTATGCATGTTATTGACCACAGAGTCACAAGTATCTATCAATAAATTGTCATTTGGAATGATACAACCTCATGTTGTTCAGGCCCCACATTTTGGAAGAATGCCTTTCTTAGAGCTTCTTTATTGATAATGACTTAATAAAAAGGTTTACATATGTAGGCCAGTTAATACTTTCCGCCTTTTGATTCAGAAGGAAACTCTGGTACCTATAAACCTCTTAGCCAGCTTTACTATCTATTCCACTTAGTGCCAGAGTGTTTATTGAGCCTTTACTTTTCCCCATATCTTCTATATGAGAGGATTCCTGGTGTAGCACCTTTGCATCATTTGTCAGCTCCTTCAATCTGTCCCTTTTCCATCTAATAGAAAGTGCAGTTTGGAAGTTTTTTCCCCCCAGTGTAAACAATCTTTATTAGTAGGTATCAAGAGCGCACAGTAGTTACAAGTCCAGATGTGTCCAAAGAAGGCAGGACACAGCTCCCTTCCCTCAACTGAGGGCCTGCAACCAAACCAGTGGAGAAGCAGCACTTGACCACGGCCACTTTAGAACCAGTACCCCTTAAACGAGATCTCAGCGGAAAAGGTGCAATACCCCTGGGGGCATGAGCTGTGCACCATCATAGGTCATTTGGCTTCTGCTCACCACATAGCTCAACAACTCAGGTAGGGTGTTAGCAGACTGGGCTGAAACTATTCCTCTCCAAACCAAGGAAGAGGTGGGAGGCTCCTGTGGAATATAAACAAGCTACTTCTGATTGTTTTTCAGGCTCTTGTTCTCCCTTTTAGCAAACTCGACAGCACAATATAGATTTTAAGAGAGAATTTCCTACAACTTCTTTAGTGCTGCTTCTGTCAATTCTTTTAGATTCATAAACCAAATCTTTTGTTAGGGAGCAAAAATCTGAAGATGTATTCAAACACAACACTAAAATAACTGAAAATTGGAGTAAACCCTGGTTAAGTTTTACTGAGCATGGATTTAATGATTCCATGAATAAATAAGCCCTTATATCTTGACACACTGTGCTTCCTCTTGAAGGAGCTAGAAAGCCAATAAAGCAGTTTCTTTTCTCTCTTTACAACTTCAATACTGTACCTTTACCCATGTTTTTAGGACTTCATGATTTCTAAATTATGGAAGGCATTATTACTTTGAGTTGAACAGCAAAATTTTCCAAAGTTAATTCTGAAGTGCTGTCTGAAGCAAGTTTGAATTCATAAACTATACCTGCATTATGAGAAGTCAAGTTAAAAAAATATAATATATCCATACTTTATCAGCAGTAGTAACACATGTTTTGGAATATATATACACATGTATATATAAAATATATATGAAAACTTTCACACACACACACACATATATATATGAAATCTTTAAAGCTGTTGGTATTCTTACCATAGTGTATTAAGGCACGATTGTTATGTAGCAAAAGCAAATGCTCTTACCAACATTTGATCTTCTGTCATGTACCATACACAGATAATGATCATCCAACAACATACTCCAAGACCTTAGAAGATAACTCAAACTCTGTGATTCTAAGAAACATTTAAAAAAAATCATACCTCAGCTGCTTTGTCTTCTTCTCGAAGGTCTTTTAAAGTGTGCTGAAATTTTGGGTCAGTCTTCTTAGCTTTTTCAGCAGTTGTCTGCTTTTCTTCTTCATAAAACATAACTACTATCCCAAAGAACAAGCTTGCCATATAAAAGGCAAACCAAAAACTTATTGCAATAAAAAATACCATGTAGACCTTTCCAGAAGCATAAAGGATCTAAGGAGAGATGGAAAATAGACAAAAAATAAAAATGCTATTTGCCTTCTTATAATCTCCTGTTTTAAAATAAAAAATAAAATTTTTATGAGAATAATTTAGTTATAAGTGGAATGTAATTACAAAATGGTTTAACTATTGGCTCTATGTAGACAAATAAGCAAATAGCTCTTCAACTTTGGACATATCTATGGTATAAAATATATGGCACAAACCAAAGAAAGAATTAAGTAATTTAATTAATACACGGTGAGCATGTGACTCTTATGTCTCCATTGATAGATAGAGTGAAAGAAAAAAGTTGTCTTCTCAATAAAGAACGATGGATGATCTATATATGGAAGATTATTTCCTTTGTAGTAGAATCTTTAAATATATGAAATTTCATAAAGTTATAGGATTAATGTTTAAAGATTACTGTCTTCTAATAATTACTTTATGGGAATATCTCAACAAGATGCATGCAATACCAGGCATTCAAAATGGTGGGAAACGGAAATATTTCTGTTATCTGCTTTGGTAAAGAACTTTTGGATGAATCCCAATGGAAAGTCATACGATTTATAGATAGAAGAATACAAAATTTTAGATTTCCAAACTTAGCTTTACTAGCTTTTATTTCATAATAATTACCTAGAATCAGAAAATTTATAAAATTTAGAAAATTATAAGGAGATATTACAAATCAAAAATATAGTCCACTGATCTATCCTCCTCACTAGTTATAAATATATAAAGAAAAAAGGGAATAGTTTATTTTTTTCTTCTTACACCAAAGTATTCAGTCTCTGTAGAGACCATCAAAAATTGCCAGTGCCAACTATATTTCAAGTCGTCACGGCAGGGTATTGGGAAAAGTTTTCAATTAGCAATAATTGCACCTCAGATAAACCTCATTGGCTACGATACTGCCACTGAGCAAAGCTGGAATAGTTTAATTTTTAAGCATCCATTTGTATCAACAAATAAGAATTATTTACAGAAAATATTGTGATGCTATAAAGAGTTAAGAATGTTTACAGACTAACAGGAAGTTTTAACATTCAATTAGAGATAATTTCTTATTAATCTATAGTATACTGTGTTTAAAAATATTTTTTATATTGGACTTCCGCCAAGATGGAGGTTTAGGTGGATATGCCGTGCCTCCTCACACAACCAAGTTTAGGGACAACTAAATATTAGCATCAGAAAACACAACCAGAACACGGAAAACTGAACTTTTCGGAAGTCCGCTAACAACAAATTCTTCAGCCCGACCGGTAAGGGGCGAAACCGGCGTCGGGTGAGGAGTTACAAAGGAGGGCTCGGTCAACCCGGGCGCAGAATCCAGTCGCACGGGTTCCAAACCCAGGATTGGACCTAGTGAGCGACCGAGCAACCCACCGGGTGAGCGACTGCAGAGGAGACAGTGGGGAGGCGGTGGCAGCGAGTTGACTGTGGTTGCCTGGTTGCACGCGGGTGAGGGAGTGAGCGGTTGGACTGGCGGCGGTGGCGGCGCCGCCATTTCCCCGCTCTGACCACGCCCCCACATACAGCGTCACAACCCAGCGACCTGGGACTCCAAGGTGCCGCTTCTCCCACTTAAAGGGCCAGAACAGACCAAAAATGTCGCAGGGAGAACTCAAAGCCCCAGAGATAAATCTAAGTGACGAAGAAATAGCAAAACTCTCAGACCCACAGTTTAAAACACTGGTCATCAGCTTCCTCATAGATCTGGTGGATTATAGCCACAAATTAGAGAAACATATGAAGGCTAAATTAAGGGAAATGAATGGAATTCCACAGGAAACCCATAGAGATGAAAAGGAAACTGGGATTCAAATCAATGGAGTGGACCAGAAGAAACCAAATAATGACCAAACAGAAAAGAGTCAAGGAGCAAGAATTCAAAGAAATGAGGAGAGTCTTAGGAACCTCCAGGACATCTTTAAACGCTCCAATATCCAAATTATAGGGGTACCAGAAGGGGGAAAGACACAACCACCAGTGGAAAAACTATTTGAAGAAATAATAAAAGAAAATTTCCCAATCTGGCAAAGGAAATAGACTTCCAAGAAATCCAAGAAGCCCAGAGAGTACCAAAAAAGTTGGACTCAAGAAGAAACACACCGAGGCATATCTATAATTACATTAGCCAAAATTAAAATGAAGGAAAGAATCCTGGAAGCAGCAAGAGCTAAGGGGACAATCACCTACAAAGGAGTCCCCATCAGGCTGTCAGCAGATTTCTCAAAAGAGACCTTACAGGCAAGAAGGGGCTGGAAAGAAATATTCCAAGTCATGAAATCTAAAAACCTACAACCAAGATTGCTCTACCCAGCAAAACTTTCATTTAGAACGGAAGGACAGATAAGGTGCTTCTCAGATAAGACCAAATTCAAGGAGTTCATCATCACCAAGCCCTTATTATATGAAATGTTAAAGGGACTTATCTAAGAAAAAGAAGTTAAAGAAACATGAACAGTGAAAGGACAACAAACTCACAGTTATTAACAACCACCTAAAACGAAAGCAAACTAAAAGGACAGCTAGATCAGGAGTGGAAACATAGAAATGAAGATCTCAAGGAGGGTTAGCAACAGGGGAGTGGGAGGAGGAGATGGGGGGAGAAGGTACAGAAAACAAGTAGCATAGACAGTAGATAGAAAATAGATGGGGGGCAAGAATAGTATGGGAAATATAGAACCTAAAGGGCTTGAGACACATGGACATAAACTAAAGGGGGGTAATGGTGGGGTTGGGGGGGCAGGGTGGAGGGGAAGGAAGGGGGGGAATAGAACAACTGTAACAGCATAATCAATTCAAAAAAATAAATAAATTAAAAAAAATATTTTGTATTAAACCCTATTATCCCAGTAGGATTTGTTTAAATATTTTTCCTACTGAAGTAGCTGTCACTTATACTGTTCAGAAGTCAGTAATAGATTTTATGGAGTATATTGCAGGCCACGCACAATAATAAATACTTTGTGCTCATTATCTCATTAATTCTGTGCAGCACATTTCTGTGGTACTTACTATTATTTCCAAAGTGTAGTTGAGAGATGAAAATTAGATAGGCAAAATGAGTGATCAAAGACCTCACAACTACAGGAGATGCCTGAGTCTAAAACTTGCTCTTTTCACTATATGAAGCTGGTGAATGAGAACAGTATATACTCTAATTAAGATGAAAATGTACAAATTCTAGTTCTATTTTATTTTAGCATAAAATTGTAGCTAATTTAGCCCCAACTCATGGTTTTCTTATGAACATCAAATAAAACCATGAATGCAAAGATCCCAGGCCATGGAAAATATGCAATAAATATTAACTACTGTTAAACATACCTCTATTCAATGAGCCAGGTGATATTTTGTTTTGTTCATTTCTGTACCCATGATATATCAAAGAGTACATGGATCAAATAAAAATATTTGTTGAATTAATGGAGAATAATATTCTCCAAAACATGAGCTGTGTTGTCTGAGGGAATAATTGCTGATTTTCCCTGGCCATAGTTAACTTAGTTTAGGTCAATACTCAGAGAACAAATCCAGTCCAAATAAAAGAAAACCTGTGTACACTGATCAATAAAACTCAGAGTGTAATGATGATGCAGGAACTGCACAGACGCCATTACCAGGGCATCCCCAGACTGATCTCTCATTCCAATGATAGTGGAAAAGAATTTACTTTAAACCACTGCTAACAAGAAATTAGCTAATCCATTTCGAGGGTTATAAAAAAGGCAAGGCATTTATGAATACATTAAATGACCTATTCCAAAATACTTGATGTTCTTTTTGTTTATTAAAATTTCATTAAGCATTCCTGTGTGTTCGATATTGAGGACACTAAAACTAAAAGAAGACAGAATACTTCTTCATAGGTGGTATATCTCCTAGTGAAAGAAAGAACTGAATGAACAATTAAAATAACCACTATCAGAGGCAAATATAAGGTCCAGTGGACTTCTGCTACAGGATATGATATGAGCTATGGAAAAGCTCAAGAAACAAATCTGGCTTTGGGTTATGAATTTGAGGCATGAGACTTGAAGACAGATAAAAACTTGAATTTAGGCAGAGTACAACATAGATTTTTAAAAAGGAATTATGGGGAAAGCTTATATAGGGAACAGCAAATCTTTTTTACACAAATAGAGCAGAAAGTATGTATTGAGACATTGTTAGGAAATAAATCTGGAGAAGTATGCAGAGACTAGATCTTAAAGGCCGCTGTGTACCGTGCATACAGACTTTGAACTTCATCCTATGGGAATCTGGAAACTATGAAAGGATTGTTAGCAGGAGGATAACAAATGATTATTTTAGAAATAAGAAGTTCCTAGTGTTGTGGAGGAGGAATTGAAATTTGTCAAAACATTTGGGAAATAACAATATGCATACTAATATTATAAAATTAAAAATATAGTTTGCATAAAAAATAATGTCACTTAGAATATTGTCATGTACTACATCTCTGTTTTGTTTACTTGATTTTTATTTAATAATACATCACAAACCTTTGTGCCAAAACATTACATTATCCTATCTTTATTAATGGCCCATAGGCGCGCACACACACACACACACACACACACACACACCATTATTTATTTATCCAATCATAAAACCTGTGGGGGTGTTTTTTTTAAGGATTGTTCCTCAACTATAAATACTTTTGAACTTTAAAGTAATTATTTTATCAACTATCCTTTTATATTAAAAGGATCCTTTTATATAGTATGCTGCTAAAATAGCATTGCATACTATGGTGAAACATCTCTTAAAAGAAAAAACGAATCTTTGTTTTAATAGATTCCGAGAAACTATGGCACACAAATAATCAGTTATGAAGACAGACTTTCAGAACTTAGATTTCAAGTTTTATAACAAGAAGCCTTCTGTTACAAGTGAAGCATGATTGAATATAGAGAAAAATGGGAATAGAAGAATTGAGAAAAATAGCACATTCTAGGTATTCAATAAATAATTGTATAATTATTCATTGGTAATCTCATAGGTTCAAATTTATGATTAAAGAATTGGTACCTAGGGCAGTGTTGGAAAAAAAGAAGAATTGGTACCTAGAAATGTTCGAAACTTAATTAACTATCACAGAACAGGACAGTGGTCCCTGGCACATACCTGTATGTAACTTTAGGGAGGTTATCCAACCACTCTGATCTTAGTATCTTCATATAAAAGGCATACACACACACACACACACACACACACACACACACACACACATACTGACCTTGTGGGATTGTTTTAAAGATTAAATGAGATATCATGCATAAAAGAACAGACTTCGGCACAGTGTTAGGATATAGGCTTTCTTCCCTTCTGTCTTCAAATTCTTCTCCACATATATACATGATAAACTATGTTACATTTGACCATTATTGTAGAAGGGAGCAGCATGAAGCATGGTACCGTTCTTATGTGCATAGCAGATTCTCTCTGCTCTTACCTGATGATACAGTGCTTCAGGATAATCCTGTGTCATTAACCGGAATAGGGCTAAGAAGGCCCAGCCGAAATTGTCAAAATTTGTGTAGCCATTATCAGGATTTTTGCCAGCTTTTACACACATGTATCCTTCCGGACACCAACTAAAAAAGACAAAGAAAAGAAACTGCTTATTCTTAGGCGACTTTCAGATTATGGCCAAACCTTAAATATAGAAAACCTTTCCATAAATAATAAATGGCTCTCATTTCCACAGCAATCAGTCTTCTCCCAAACATCCCAGTGAAAAAGCTGCAAATGAGCCCTGGCCAGTGCGGCTCTGTTGGTTAGGCACTGGCCCGCAAACCGAAAGGTCAGGGGTTGGGGCAAATGCCTAAGTTTCCAGTTCAGTCCAGGTCGTTTCGCACACAAAAGGCAACTGATCAATGTTTTTCTCTCACATCAGTATTTCTCCCCATCTCTTTTTCCCACCCTTCCCCCCTCTCTAAAAAAAAGAGGGTGGAGAGTAAGCTGGAAATGAGTTAGATTTTGCATTGATACAAGTAAAGTGTTAAGCTAAAAGGAAAAAGGGCTAACAAATAGTTTTTGTCAAGCCTTTGTTAAAGGTTTATTACCCAACATTAAAATGAAAGTGTAACTGATGAAATGTAACACTGATAAAAATAAAACTGCATCACAGCTGAATGATCAAATATTATTTCAGTTCTTTTTATGGAGTCTTCATACTTTTATCTAGTGGGAGCTTGAGTGTTGTGGTCGATTATTGCAGTGGTGCCCAATAAATCATGCTTCCCTCTCTCCATGTGCCTGCCTAGTTCCCTCCCACATTATTTTGGCTTTGGCCATGAACATATTTCGGACAATTGATAATGGTTAATAAACATGATACAAACAGAAATTTATAAAGTAATCGTGCGTTGAGGCTTGCTAAATTTTTGACCCACATAATCTGAACAAATGAATTATCTTCTTTTTAAAGATTTAATTTATTTTTAGAGAGAGGAGAAGGAAGGGAGAAAGAGAGGGAGAGAAACATTAATGTGTAGTTGCCTCTCACACGCCCCCTACTGGGGACCTGGCCTGCAACCCAGGCATGTGCCCGGACTGGGAATCAAACCACCCAGCCTTGAGGTTTGCAGGCCAGTGCTCAATCCACTGAGCCACATCAGCCAGAGCTGAACAAATAAATTTTCATTCTTATCTTAAGGCACTGATTTTTTCTTCTTTTGGCACTGACTTTTGGGATCATTTACCCTGCAGCAAAGTATGATGACTACAGGTAAAATATTGTGTGACTTGTTCTTCTGGCCTTGAAATATATCATTGTGGTCCTGACTATCCATGACCAGGTATCTTCAATATAAGCTTGGAATGTTCACAAAAAAGGGTTAGCTGCAGCTGCATAGAACAGACACAATGGGATGAGATCACAACTTGGGCTTGAGAATATAGTACAAGCCCATCAGTAGCTGGGGAAAAGAAGTTGAGCAAGCAACAAAATGTCTACATCAGCTGAATACTAGACTTGTCTGGGAAAAGCCCAGCCATTGTTAACATAACAAGAATGGTTTACATGACATTGACATTGATGTAACCTGGCAGCCAAGGACAGTGGACTGGAATGCTCATGGGTGAACAAGTACAACTTCACTGTACTAGTCAGCGAAGACAGTAGATTTCATTGAGTGAGCATGTGTACTGTGTGGCCATCACATTCAAAATGACTGAGCAAGTAGAGCAACGAATCTGCATCAGATTTTTCATTAAGCTTGAACACTCCTGCACAGAAACTATCTGGACAATTTGGAAGGCCACAGTTAGGGAAAAACCATTATTGGCAGCTTCATCACCACAATGTGCCTGCTCATGCATCACATCTCATGCAGAGATTTTTGGCAAAACATCAAATTATCCAGGTGACTCAGTCCCTTTACTGCCCAAATTTGGTTCCCTGAAACTTCTGGCTTTTCCCAAAACTAAAATCATCTTTGAAAGGGAAAAAATTTCAGGCTGTCAAGGAGATTCAGAAAAATATGACAGGGCAGCTGGTGGTAATTGGGAGAACTGTGTGAGGTCCCAAGGTGCCTACTTTGAAGGGGACTGAGGTGTCATTGTCCTATGTACAATGTTTCTTGTATCTGATATCATCTTTAATAAATGGCTAGGTACCTTTTGGACAAATCTATAACCAAACTATGTAACTGACCCCTGACTGGTGTGGCTCAGACATTAGGCATTGTCCGGAATCCCAATGGTTGCTGGTTCAATTCCCGGTCAGGGTACATGCCTGCCTGGCTTGGGGGAAGCTCCCTGGTTGTGGGTGTGAGAGAGGCAACCATTCGATGTTTCTCTTGCACATTGATTTCTCCCTCTCTTTCTCCCTCTCTTCCCCACTTTCTAAAAAGTAAATAAAATCTTTAAAAAATAAATAAACTATATAACTCATACACCTCTCTCCATCATGTGCTGTTGTGAATCGAGGCTCTACAGCCAAAGAGAGTTGAGCCTACAGATAGGCGTCGAGTCATCCCAGTTGAGAAAAGTAACCTAAGGAGCTGCACAGGTCTCGGCACTGCCGAGAAGCACTCCACTTCTACTGTATCTCCTCACTCGAAACTATAGGGCAAGAAGCCATGAATGTTGGGTCCTCACTGAGCAATTTCTTATAAACACTGTCTTTAAGAACAATAAACTTTTTATTCATGTAAAATTTAGTCATAAAAGACAGCCAAGCCATAAAATAAGCAAAATAACAGCGTATATTTAATATTTCTTTCTTTAAAGGCTTCTGGCTAAAGAAAAGATTATGTGTCTTTTTTGGTAATTCCTACTAGCTCTGAGGCACCCTGAAAACAAACAAACAAACAAACAAACAAACAAACAAACAAACAGAAAATAAGGTCATGTTTAAGTCCCCACTTTGCTGTTTACTAACTTCTTGACCTTGAATAAGTCACTTAACTAGTTTGTTTATTGCTTTTTTTTGTAAAATTAGTTTAATAGTATTCAAAACCATTCAGCTTTCAACATGGTTTTGATGTTAAGATTTGCTAATGTAATCAAATGGGAACCATAATGAAAATGAGTCAATAAATACTACTGATTGATGATTCTGATTCGATAGAAGAAAACATTAACATCACTCACCTGGCATCTGTTCTGTTGCCACAAAGGAGTGCATCTCTTTCTCCTTCCAAATAATAAAAGTTTTCTGTTTCTAAAAATAGGAAAGAAATGATATTCTATATTTAATCTTGAATGAAGAGCCTATCTGAAAACCATTTAAACCTCTACAGTGAGAAGAAATAAGCAGATAGCCTGGCTTTTTTCTTTGATCTAGGAAAGTGTCTTAGCATCTCATGCACAGGCAAAAACGCCTCTGGCCATCCATCTACCTCACCGACCTGACAGTGATAGCACCCAGAAGAGATAGAGGAGGATTCCTTTCAAAATTGGAGTTCAGGAAAATGAATATAATCTGTTAGGTATGACAGACTCCTGATGGAAAAATTCCCAAGACTAATATGTTTGAAAGCAAGGACCTTTTATTTCCAGAATTCATTCCTGAAGCTTTTTCCTGAGCAAAAGGCCATATTTTTCTGTCTTTATGTTTAATTTCCACTCTCTTCCCTTTGAAGCTTATTTCTCTACATTGAGCATCCAATGCCGATTTAATACTTGGTGTCACCTAATTTCGACTACAACTTAAGTTTACTTGAATCATAGCCCATAGAATTTATCTAGATACCCTTGCCAGGCAATTAAAATGTAAAATGTGTATTTATAAATATAGTTACCAGGGTTGGAAACATGCATGCTTGGGAGCATTGGTTTTTAAGTTCTAAATTCAAATCACAGAGATCAAACCCATGAAAGCAGGACTAAGTGTGTGTGTGTGTGTGTGTGTATACATACAAACAGATATATGTACACAAAATTGTAGGTAACCTATATATACAAAATTGAATTATTCCAATCTCAAATAATGTCACATTTGTCACCTAAAATAATTTTTAAATATTTAAAATAATAATAACTAGAAACCATTGATGAAACCCTTTGAATGACAGCTAAAAACTAAATAAAATTTGACATTAATAAAACCGAAGTAGTCCCAGATACTTTTCTAAGTACAAGCATTATAACATGACAATTAGGTTAACAATATAATACTTTCAGCAATTCCTAACAAGTATTTCAGAAAATGGACTGACAACTTTTTAAATGATAATCTTTAAAAAGTGATTTCTTTGTAACAAACTTTAACACAGATGAAAAGAACCTCTTTTCTTAACACTAACTAGTGAAACAGCAAAATTGTTTATTTTCAAGTAAATAACATTTTTTTTACAATGTCAAATAATTTTTGACATATGAGGCAAGTGATTCTTACCTCGAATGTAACATGGGTTTCTGGTTCTGTTGTGCATGGTTTCAGTTGCATTTTCGTGGGGCCATCGGAAACATTTATGCTTCAGTTTGCCCATGAAGAGCCCCATCCCAATCACAGAAAATATGCTCAGAAAAAACAGAGTAAGGATAATGGCACCGGTAAGTTTCTTCAAGCAAAGGAGCAGGATCCCTACATAAGACTTCAGGCCTAGAAAGAGACAGGTTTGTTCTCAATAAAATAAGATGTCTTAGTAAAGCAGCACTAGCCAAGTTCTCCCATGGAAAATACATACTACATTGAAATCAGTAGCTTTGTGTTTCATAATCTAACTTATCATTATTTGGATCTAATAAATAAGATGAATAAAAACCCAAACTTTCAGGTTTTTGTAATATTGCTAATTTATGCCACCTAACAGAGTAATTCAGACACAATATATTTTAAAATTAGTTATTCAATTGTTTCTCTTTACTACATCAAGAACAGGCTCTCTTGGCTATTGCTTTTTATACCAGTCACCATGGTTTGTAAGTGTTGTAAAGTATAAAGTTAATCAAAATGGGTTGCAAATGTTGAAACAAAAAAATAGCTTGCAATAGTAGTATTCTTTCACCAATTTTTAGAAATTTAATTTTTGGAGCTGATTAAATAAAATGAAAAATTTTAATGATTATAAATTAGAATAACACAACTGTGATACAGGCAGGCTGTATTTATATCAGAATATTTACTACTTGAAAATTCAACCTTAAATTTAAGGTTGGCTTTTTATCTAAGAACATTTGTTTTTCTATTTAAATAATACATGCTTAATTCTGAAAATGTAAAAAACAAGAAGAAACAAAAACCAAATGAACGTAATTGTGCTTCATAGATGAAACTACAATTTTCTTTCCTTCCTTCCTTCCTTCCTTCCTTCCTTCTTTTCTCCCTTCCTCCCTTCCTTTGTTCACCTCCCTCCTCTCCTTTTCTCTTGGTCTCTTATTCATTGGTCTGTTTGCATTTAGGAGCCTAATCACTGCTCAGCTCAACAATGAATGAGAATATAATAGCTCTGTGATGCTGAGCAAGTTACTCAACATTTTTAAGTCTACGTTTATTATCTTTAAAGGGGAAATAATAATACACATTTCATATTTTATTGTTAGGATTGAACATTTATTTTTTTAATTACCTCAGATGATTGGAGACAATAAAGTTACTCCTATGGTTAAAGAAATGTGATATCTAAATGAAATATATTAATATTTCAATTGCTAGACTATTAAAATATATTTGATTGCCTAGAAATTATAGCATTAGGTTTTTCACTATATGCAAGTCTTTTAAGTGTTTATATAAGAAATAAAATGTCTGTGTCAGCACATATATATGGCCACACTTAAGTGTTGACACATATGTTTAAATTGCTTTTGAGAGATGTTAAAATCAGTGTTTAAACTAAAGGCTATATATATGTCTTCAGCCAAGCCTTCATTAAAAATAAAACATTAAAAATTATTTCCAATTTGTTAGAAGAAAAATGGGATCACTTTACTTTAATGCAATCTCGGTGATTACCATAATGAACTTTTAAAACATGTGTATTTGCACTATTCCTTATTTTTTTGGTAACTGTACTGACTTCTCCATATATTATTTTACTGATTTTTTCATATTGTTCTGTTGGAATTATTTTTAAGAATTTCTCTTAAATAAGAATATATGCATGTGTATAATATGTAAACATGATGTGCATATGTATACATACATATACACATATATAACACATGTATATGTGTGTATATATAATATATATACCAGATTTTTGTGAGCTTTAATTTATTGGTGACATTTTGTTTGAAGGTAAAAAAGTCACCATCCAATTTTACAGAGTAAAATTTATTAATAATTTTCATTGCTATGTACCATTCATTGTTATCTACCAAATTCTGAATCAATTTTGATTTTGATTTCCTGGTATAATTTTTCCCTTCATTTTACTTTTAAACTTTTGTTTTAGTTTAGATATATGTGGTAAAGTTCAATTTATTTCTGATTTAATATTAAAGTTTCTACATCTCGACAAAAATTTAGCTCAATTATTTTTATTTTCATAATTGGCTTTATTTTGGATTGGACTTCAAGTACAAAGCATGCATAAATTTGGCCTGCTTCCTGGAGACCCAGTGGACAAAAATTCCACAGGCATATAACAGGCACATGCTTATAGATCTTCCTTTTGGTATTGTCACACCTGCTTCTCAGTTTATTAATTCAGCTATTCCATAATACTCTGACTCTTAGCAGTCAGAGAAAAGAAAAAGAAAACAAACTCCAAAAGACAAAACTTGGAGTGGAATTGTTTCTATCTGATTCTTTTTATTCATTCTGAATAACAAGTTGGAAGCTATTGGTGGGCTTCTTTAAGATTGTTCAGGAATGGGAGCTATAGTCTTGAGCATCCTTCACTGATGTGGGCACAGCCTTACTTAGCAGGACCTCCTTGAACTTGGCGGCATGTGGAATGCACCCTATCCTAGCACTCAAAACAAAGGGAGATTTATTTTATGTTACTCTATTCATTTCATCTGGTTTTTAGATGTCATAAGGAAAAGAAGACGGTAGGTTAGATATCTGTGTGGACTACTATATCTCTCTGTAGTCTAAAGATAATTTTATAACTTCATATATAAGATGTAAGAATAAATAATGAAGACAGAAAAAATAATATTTTTGATTGAACTCTACATTTTATTTTAGTTAATGAACCCACCTCAATAAAATAACAGTCAAATGTGATATTTTTTCTTGCCTTTCCTGTAGTGACTGAAATAAATTTTAAGATCATTTAATTCATTGATTTCAAAGTTAAAACTGTATTCAAATTAATATTTCCCCAAACAATAACAGGAATACAAATGAATATATGGGAGTAGAGAAAACAAAATGAAGAAAAGGAACTGAATGCCATTTCTTACCTTGGTTTAAAGGAATGATTTTCAAAATTCTCAAATTTCTCGTAATTCTAAATATTGGATTGAAGTTTAGAGGTGAATATATTGTTATATGCCTGTGGAATTAAGTGAAGAGTTATTCAGAAGTCCTCTTGAGATTGTGTTACTTATCTTTGACTTGTTATATTCTTTGAAACTTATGTTTAAAGCCATATATCCAAACATTTCCCTTGCTTTCATCATTCCATTTTTCAAATAGTTTTATCATTGATTACAAGACAAAGAGTGCTACAATGTGTGAAGTAGCCAGGTAAATATTAATCCACAACCATACTATGAGAGATTACGAAATTCTGATACTGTCAGTACTCTTAATTCCATATTTGTATCATGTTCATAAACATTTTGTTATCTGACTAGTAAAAAGATAATTAAAAACAAAAAAAAACCAAAATCTTTTAAAACAATGAGTTACAACTTAAGGATTTAAACCATTAGGCTGATTTTGATGATGGCGATGATGATGATGATGGTGATGTTGGTGATGACAATGGTATTGATGACGATAGAAGGCTGGTACACAATGGCTAGGAGCACAGACTCTATAGCCAGACTGCCTGTGTAGAAAGCCAGGCTCCAATCTTTACTAGATGTGTGACAGGAAACATTTAATTTTTCTTGCCTCAGTTTCCTCAGAAGTGGGGATAATAACACTTCCTTCATCAGCAGCTTTTTTGTGGAGATTAAGTAAGTCATATATGTAAAGTGCATAGAAGAGCAACTGAACATGCCAAGGGATGGACATCTAAGTGTTAGCTGTGTCAGTTAAATGTGTGCTAACAGCAACAGCAGGAATCATGATGGTGATAGTAGGAGTAGTAGTGATAATAATTGCAGTGATTTTAGCCACTATTTTTTGAATGCATACAACATGGCAGACACTAATTATTCTTTTTTCCCAGCCCAGCCCCTCCCACCTGCCCTAATTATTCACTTTTATAAAGATTTAAAAATTTTTTGATCCAAAAGTCTATAAATATGATATTATTTTACATTTCTTTAACAGGGATTTAACACCAGTGACCATTTACTCAGCCACAAAGAACATTAAACAAATGCATTGAAAAAAATAAATACATATAAAAATCATTAAAATGTAATGTGACACTTTAGGAAATGTAGAAAATGTGTGTTTTTAAATATCTTATTCTAATATCTAACATATTTAGTGGTCTTAAGAAATGCAGCTAAGTAAAATATAGATTTGAGAAGAAACCAAATATGCTGGGATACTTTCCTGTCTCCAGGAAATTTTCTTCTCACTAAAAATAACTTCGAAAGCAAAAACTCAACCTCTATCACCTTTACTTCATATAGAAAATGTAGATAATATTTATTGCTTTTATATGTATTACATAATTAAGACCTCATTCAGCTGGAGCTATCTGGGAGAACTCACTATAACTATAATTTACAACATATTTTATTTGCAACTATTTTTCTGGCAGAAAATTTTGTGAACCTCAATTTTTTAGTGAAAGCATTTGCTTATCAAGGCAGTAAGATGTTTGCAACTTAAATAGGTACTCACTCAAATAAAGTTACACTGAAGTCAAGCCAGTTCCACGGGTCCCCAAAGAAATAAAATGGTCCAGTCCAGGTGCCTCTGGCAATGAGTTTTACAAGGATTTCGAGAGTGTAAATTCCAAGCAAAGTGATCCTGCAGAAAAAAATTTTATGTATACATTAAAAGTAATACATTGTCATTTCTTAAATACATTGTCTATGATAACTACCTGGAAACTGATCCATGAGCAAACTAATCAACCAACCAGACAATAATCAAAAAAGCATGTGCCTTTGAACCATAGGATAGAGCTTTACACAGGGCTTTGAGAGTGGCTGAAGGCTCATGGTATTAACCATAAAATTTGACTATCAGTTTTTCAACAACTCCTAGCTCAGGGTTATAGTATAGTGTATATATATGTGTGTGTGTGTAAATGATGAAAATATCAAATATCAAATGTATTTCACACTGGGAGTCACAAAATAGATAACTGAATTATAAAAGAGTTTAAAGAACTAATTTTACTTTGTGTGTATATAAGGATGTTTATGGAAAATCAGAATTTATTAACTTTCCAAAGTCAACTAGTTTTAAGAACAGAATTAAACTTGAAAGGTAGTATCAATAAAGCTTTCCTCCCTGGCAAATTTAATGAGTCTTTCCATCATTGCAGACTAATGTAAGTCAAACTACTCACATTCCCCAGAAAAGAGAAAATAAGTACATAGAATAGAAAGAAAAATTACTTTCTTAAAGAATGAAAAGAAAGTTATTTGCATTTGAAGCAAATCAGGTGTGGTTTGCAATAGTAAAGAAAACCTGAGGCATTGATACATTAAACATTTGTAATTGCCTTTAAAATGAAACTTCATTTGTATGATTGTATGATGCAGGAGGCATAAACCTATAGCCAAAAAACTCAAACATTAATATAACCTAACAGGTTGGGAAATAATGAAAGGGCAGAAAAACATTCAAACTAATTAACCAACATATATGTAAATTTGTTTCAATTTGGAAAATTTATTAATAATGGTATGTGGATAAATATTACATTAGGTACAATGAATGTATTATGTATGAAATATAAAAATTAAATCTGCAATATTATGGTATTGTAAATGATTAAATATATAGTATTATAATATTTAACGTATTATATTATAATTCTGTTATGTTATTGTTTTATTTTATTTTATTTTTAAAAGATTTTATTTATTAATTTCAGAGTGGAAGGGAAGGAGAGAGGGAGAGAAATATCAATGTATGGTTGCCTCTTGTGCACCCCCTGCTGGGAACTGACCTGCAACCCAGGCATGTGCCCTGGCTGGGAATCAAACCATGATCCTCTGGTTCATAGGCCCATACTCAAGCCACTGAGCTACACCAGCCAGGGCTATATTTTTATTTTATTATAATATTTAGCATATAGTATACAATAATGCCATATGTTAAATATAAAATATAATCATATGAGATTATGTGAATAAAATTGTATAACTTACTGTAATTTTGGCCCCCAGTATGGAAAATCAGTCATGGTCATAAATATGCAGTCACTCAGGACGCTAATCAAAATGAACAGTCGAAAAAAGGTAGGTTACAGTCAAGGAATAAAAGATAATAAATAATATTGGAAACCTGTTTCTAAAATCTGTTTATATGTGTACACATACATGAGATAAAATCATTTCTTAAATTATAAAAAATATATTATTCACATTGAAAAACAATGAATATTAAGGTTTGTTAATATTTACTACTGTTGTGTGTATGAAAACACATTTAAATGTATTTTTAAATATGGAATACTTAGTACAGTTATAATCCAGACTTCAGTATGACACATGAGATAACAATTCAGAAGAGAAAGATGGCAGTGATATTTGAATAGAATAGTTGCATTTGATCCTTGTACATTCTAAAGCCAATGGAAAAGGATATGGATGTACCAAAATCTTAATACTTATTCTTCTAATTGAATTGAAAGGAGACAATGTACACCAGGTGGCATTAAATCTGAAAATTATTCTCTTTTTGTTTAACACCATGAAAGTCTGCAAAGAGAAAAAAACATCAAGTGAAATTAGAACTATGAACTATAATCAAACCAATCATGCAACATATTGACAATGGCTATTTCAGTCATGAATGCTAAGTTACATTTTGCTTATATTTTGATATTCTTTTACAGATAAAATAAATGGAAAGTTCTTTTAAAAACTCTTTTTAGTGATTTTTTAGGTTTATCCAAGACTTTTTTTTTGCTAGTGCTCGACCTGAGAAAGCTATCACCACACACCAATCCTCAAATTTTCCTGTCTAACTAAAATAAATAGGAAGAAAGATATATATATTAATAGTTTTTGGAGATATAGTTTTATATACCAGAACTCAATGAATGTAAATAAAAGTTAATTTTACTTCAAAGCAAATAAGGTATGGAATTACAATAGTAAAATGACTCAAAGGCACTATAATATTACATTAATCATTAGTAATTATTCATAGTATAAAACCCCACTTGTTTGTTATCATTGTCATAATATACACTTAAATCTTGAAAAAAATAGTATGTTGGGATATAAAAGCATTAAAACCAAAAATAATGAGAGACAAAAATACCCTAAAAATGAATCATATATGAGGAGGAGCCCCTAAAATACATAATTATCTTTTGCAGAGCAGGTCCCTATAGTACAAGTTTCCCCCACTAGGTTAGTGTTCTAGGAATCCATCAGTATCAATGTACCATCTGGTGTTGTTGTGAGAGGTCGTGTTGGGCTTCAGTTAATTTTTTTTTGAAGACTCTTTTAACACATTTGCCTATTTCATGACGGGTGGTTTACTAGTGCACCTGCCCACACCACGCTTTCTTCAGCAGTTTTTAACCAAAAATGGCATGACCCCCATTCTCCATCCTCTCTCGCCCCAAGCAACTTTTTTTTTGTTTCCTTGGATAAAAGAAGTCTTCAAAGGGAAATGTTTTGATGATGTGAAAGAGGCGAGACAAAAACATAAAACAAAAAATGGCAGAAGCACTAACAAGCATAAAAATTAACAAGTTCAAAAACTGTTCCAGGCAGTGGAAAGAATGTCTTGATAGGTGCATTGCATCAAATGGAGAGTACTTTGAAGGTGACTGAAGTTAAACATGTAAGAATAAATACATGATTTTTACAAATAAATTTAGTTTTTTGGGGTCCCCCTCTAGTATATGTATATATGTATATATGTGTCTACAATATAAATGTGGGCAAAAGTAGGTTTACAGTTTTTTATATCGAGCATAACATAATAATTATAAATAACAATACAAAAATAAACTGTTTTACATGATCATAACTGTAAACCTACTTTTGCCCCACCTGTATACTCTAACATTATATATTCACATTATATAATATAAAACTATACCGACGTGTATATGGTGACTATATATTGATATTTATATTTGTGTATATATGCAAATATATTAGTGGATACAAATGTGTTCACCAATTACTTATGAATACATGTTCTAAATGGAACCTTTTCCCAACATAACAGTCCATGGATATTTGGCCTGGATTGTAGATATTTTTCCTCTTTGCATTTTAAATGCAACAAGAAAATTAAAAAGGGACCCCCAAAAAATCAGACTAGTTAAAATGTGCTTTCTGTGTAATTTGCAGAACAATTTCAAACTCCACAGAAGGTGGATGTGCAACCAAGCAGCTGATATGTCACTGTGAAGCAATGAGCTATTCAAGGTATGAAATTATCCAGTTAATGATGAGGTGCTAAATTGTTTATTTAATTTTAGACTCATTAACTTATATGTCATCTTAAACAGAGTAAACTGAATATAACTCAAAATTTTAATAATTATGCCACCATTAATAACTACTTTTTATGCTAAGCTATGCTACAGTTTTGGGCTTGTTTTATTCTTCAAACTCCTTGTTATTTTCCTTCAGTAGGAGGCCTGATATGCTTATCACTTCTGCATGTACTACACAGCTCTCAGAACTCTGTAATATTAGAGTTACCTCTAAGGCTACTGTGTTATATTAATTTTTATGATTTAAGCATAGCAAAAACTGAAAACAGAAGTAATTGAGATGAGGATTTACCAAGATTTCACAGGTGTTTAATTAATAATGTTGTATAATGTCCATGGACATTATTACCGCAGCTACTGGAGTCCTTTTTATCATATACACTGTAAAATGCCAATATTCTTCTACCAGGCAAAGATTCAAGACTGTGGTTGTATAATATGATCACTTTGCCTTCCATCCAGAGTCTTGGTTCAATTTCATTTCACTACTTGTTACTATCTGTGAATGTTCTATTTACAAGAATATCAGATTGCACTTGTCTACACTGGAGCTAATCCTCCTCTCTAGATCTTTTCTACAGTTACTGCATTTTTATCAGTGGGACAACTATTTTTTCAGGCTGAAAACCTTGGCATTATCAGTCAGTCTTCAAACCCTGCTGATTCTTCTTGGGATTTTTTACTCTCTCTCTTCCCTGAGACACTCCAGTAGTCCAGACCTTTGAACATCAGGCCTGGATTCCCCTTTCCCTCCTATTTCATTTTTCTGACCCTATCTTCTCCATGCAGTAGTCATTTAGAAATCTTCATATTAGTCTTATTTAAATTTTGTATTTATCATATCAGTCTTTTGGCCATCACATTAAATCCATGCTGAAATCTCCCTCATTTCATCTATTTCCTACAACATGCAACACAGCTGTGAGGGTTCCATTCTATCATTCCCCATTCCTTCTCTATTCCAGAATTAATCTCTGTGGTTGCTTGTTCATAGATCTTCCCTTTGCCTTGTTAAGACATGAAATGTTCTCTAAACTATAATTCACATTCTATATCTTTAATGAAGATTCTTCAGCTGTCAGTCCACACAGATCCCTGATTTTTAAAACATAATTATTCTTATTTTTTATCATTTTGTGCTTGTCATTAGATTGTCCAAATATTTAATAGGTTCCTCAAGTTATTCTGGAGATAAAAGGGTGTGAATATGTAAATGAATAAAAATGATAAATAAAATGCAAGTTAGCTTTATTTTCCTAACTACTGAGCGAGTTCATCAAGTTGAGCTTGTGAATTTGTGTACATATTTTACAAATTTTATACTACAGTTATTTTAAAATTGATAAACTTTAGTAGCCAATCATCGTACTCCCATAAAACAAATAATTATATTAACGGTATAACGGTATGTATAACGGTATAACCTATTGCAAAGTAAAGTAACCTCAAACTAACCAACCAAGCAAACAATAACTTTTGATAAAAATTTGAAATATGTATGAGATTTTTTATGTAGTTTTGTATAACTTAAAATTAGTTGTTGATTTATTCTTCATTCTCCCTTTAGGCCCACCTCCCCCCCCACCCCGCAATCACCACACCATTGTCCAGGTCCACAACTTGTGTTTCCTTTTTGCTCAGTCCCTCCACCCTCTGAGCTTCCCCTCATCCTCTTTTCTCATCCTATCTCAATTATGTTTTTGGAATTCCTGCAAAATAAAATAATGAAAATGGAGTCATGACAAGTCAAATTAAACCTTACATTTTGATTATGATAGTACGCGTCCACATCCTCCAGGGGCTCTGACACCATTTCTCGAGGAAGAGTTCCGTAAACGAACGGAAGCTCTTTCCCAACTTCCAAGTCAACGTCTGGCTTTACATCTTCTTCTTGTTCCTCCTTGTATTTTTTAGCAATACGCTGTTCCATACATTCAAGAGACTCTCTGGTGAAGGGCACGAGGCCCTTCGGTTCTGGGGAAGCCATTTTTAATTTTTTACCTGCAACAAACGTATTTTCTTTAGTTCTGTATGAAATTTGTGTATACTGTATAAAAAATTTAAATCACAAAAGTTTAGAATATAAATAAAAGATAATAGTGAACTAGATACATGTATTCAAAGAAAGTTCCTCAGTTTTGTAGAAATCTGAGTTGTTAAGCTAAGTTCTTTTATACTTCACAATAGACTTAATTTGTAATTTCATGAGCAACTCATTCTGTTTTCATTTAACTATCCATTCAATCCTTTTCTGTTTACTGAAATCTTCCTTGTAATAAAAGAATTCTAAAGTTATTAGAGATTTGGCAGGTGGAGGAATCCAGTCTTAGCTGCATTTAACCATTGACTGGACTTTTCTTCCCTGAAGTCAGTCTTTATTGACTCTAGGCCCCTTTCTTCTTTCTTTTTTTTAAATGAAATTTATTGGGGTGACATTGATTAATAAAATTATGTAGGGTTCAAGTGTACAATTCTTCAACACATCATCTGTATATTGCATTGTGTGAAGTCAAATCTCCTTCCATGACCATACACTCAACCTCCTCCACCCTTCGCTACCTCACCACCCACTTTCCCTCTGGTAACCACCATACTGTTAGCTATGTTTATGAGTTTTTTCAGTTTGTTTGTTTTGGTTGTATCTACACAAAAATTGTGAAAATATTTACTTGCAAAGATATATGCACCTTTACATTCCTGGCAGCATTATCTACTCTTCTCTTTATACGGCTCTGTTTACTCCTCTTGACCCAGTTCTTCCTTCAATTTTAACTCTAATATCCCGTAAAGTTATGCTCTTCCCCTCTGTGGTGTCTTTCCTTTTGGTGATTGCATAGGAAAACACGGGGTTTCGATTACTGCACATGGATACTTACTGAGTACACTTCTTAAAACACTGTTTTTCCTGCATCATTGATGGCAATCCCACCAATCACAACAATTTAACAAGTGAAATTTATTGTTTTTCCCCGTGACTAAAATCAATTTTTAACCTTCTAGCCATTGTAAAAACAAAAGCACAAACACAAAGTAATCATATTGAAAACTACTCGTGAAATGTTTTGTCATTAATGCCTCTGGAGAAAATAATGTTCTTTCAATTATTTTTCATTATGTATTTAAATATGACCCAATGTTTATATATCTACATAAAGGCATGTCATCTTTGTAATTCTATATCTGGGTTGTGGTAGTAGTTTTTACAGGTTTCTCTCAATTCTAGTCTTTATTTTAAATCATCCTACAGGCCACTCAAATTTGTGTTCGTTAAATATAATTTTATGCATCAATTCCCCATTCATAAACATTCTTTGGTCTCACATAAAAATATATTCTTTTGCTGATTTTCTCCAACCTAATTCTTGTCAAAACTTACTCAAGTGATCCCATTCAGTGAAAACTGATTACCACTTATATATTTCCCTTCAATCCTCTTTGTAATTTTATTATTGAAGTTACCCCTCTTTGTGATTTAATCTTTGCATTGAAGGATAAGAAATTTTGTACTTGATATTGTGGCTTTTGTATATTTCTCCTCTAACAGTGCCGTTCTTGGTTGAGTTCCTTCTATACGGTTTCCCTAAAACAGAAATCGCACACATAGGCACACATATATTCTGCACCATACTTTTACACTGTTCAGTGAAACTGAATTGTTTAATAGTTCAGTCCATTACTTATCTATTAATGGAAAGTAAGAAAAGATGTTAGTTAATCTTAATGAAGTACCAGTTATTATAAAATTCAGACTCCTACTCATAGCTTAAATAAATGGTGTTTGGCAGACATTTCAAATATACAAATGGCAATCTCACACACATCCAAGTGGACGACACACAGTCCTTTTCTGTGTCCTGGGAAATAAAAATGAAAATCCAGTGCTGGGATGACTCCTTATACCTTTCATGAGATCACAGTTTTCTGGGCTTTTCTTCTTTTTCTTTTCATTCTTTCTAAACAAAGGCTTCCTTTGCTTACTTCTAAGACTGCACATTAAACAATGGCATCCCAGCTTCAACTTTGATTTTCAGTTTAAATTCCCACCATATGCCTGTAACCTCTACCTCAAAAACTGTAAATAAAAAGGTATTCTTAATTGGTCTGACCCAGCCTATTGATTTATTTCCCTTGGTTCAGTCACTGATGCCCAGAGAGGGGACATTTTTACAATAGCAATAGCTTCTTATGCCTACTTCCCTCAAGTAATGTCACAAGAACAGGGTGTGAAGCAATTTTAAGGAGAGGAATATGGGATAGGAATATTGACACATATCTCCTTGGAAGTATCTTTCCAGATTAGTAGTATAAAACCTAAAAATTTACATTTTTTCAAATACCTTGCTCAGTATTATGCACAAAACTAACACATTAAACATTGGTCAAAAATCATATATATATATATATATACCATATGTATAAATATAAACACATCTACAACAACATCTCACTTATCAAACTTTATTGAGAGGAGAAAAGTTATGTTTTTGTAGCAGAGAAAATGGCCAAGGGATTTTACTTAAGAGTAATTGTGATGTAAATCAATATTGACTTGTATCTGCCAAGAAAGCTATATAACCTTTATGTGTATTGAAGGAAGATGGAAGCCCCTTTCTATTTTGCTGTAATCCAAGACCATAGCTAAAAGGCATGTCATTAAACTGGAGGGTCTTCAAATAGAATCCAAATATTGATTTGACTCAAATCACAGTATCTATAGACCACATAAAAGAATGGAGGATATATTAATTGAAGTACAAAAGACTCAAATAAAACACTATTTTTGTCCAAGTGAGTCATATTTCCTCACATGTAAACTTTGGAATCCCTCATGTGTTGCACGAGGTCATACTGGTCAAACAGACCATACACAGAAAGCCTGCCCCACAGTGCTGGTCAGTGCTAATGCTCTCTCCTAACTCAGTCGGCAATCCACAAGATTTCTTTAGTGAGAATTTTGATGTTGAATGAAACTACTCTGGGTTGTTGATTGCGTAAATGAACTGATAGCGAGTTCTTATCAAATGGACCTTTCTTGTATCTGACTTCTAGGTGGCTAAGAAAAGATTGTAAATTATTAATCATTAAGTCATAATTTGGTAAAAAGCATTTCTGTGGGTAATTTATAAAATATGGTGCAGGCACTATGCTTTCCAGCGAGTGATCTTAATATAGTGCACTAAAGCCTGAAAAATATGTCGAGATTAATAGTTAATTTGTCCATTGGACTTCCTTTCTAAAAAATCGAAAGCTAAAGTAAGCTTTTGGCAAGAATCGTATCAAATTCAACCGAGGCTTGGACTCTAACTAAAGTTCTAGTTGAACTAATATTTTATATTGTTGATTAAAGTGCAAACCATGAATCTTGGATAACAGTTGGAATTAGCACAACTAGGATCAACATGGGGAAAAGAGGTGCATTATTATAGGAAAAATTCTCCTTAAAACAGTTTTCAAGCATTTGAAAAGGAGCCAATGTTTGTCATAATTAAGGCAACTATAATTTTGGTAACACTTACTATGTTACTACCATTTGCGAAGCACTGGACTAGATGTTTCTATTTTCTCATATTCTCACACATCATCCTTGTGATCAACATTTATAGATGAGGAAGCAGACTGATGAGTTTCATGACTTCTCCATCATACTGTAGCCAGTTGAGTGGTAAAGATATATGCTCACCCAGGTGTGTCTAAATCTAAATTTGGGTGACATTAAACTACACCAGAAAACTCACAAGCTATACATTTTTAGGCAAATGCAAACAATCGATACCTCAGTGTGGCTACCAGAGATATTCAGAAACTAATGAACTTAATGGGATAATTTAGACACCAATTTGCATCACTGAGTAGCTGACAGATTCATCAGGTGAGATTGTCTAGAAAACTTATTCATGTAAATATTGTCAAAGTCAAATATTTTGTAAAATTAAAAGGGAGCAAGAATATTGGCATTAATTTGGAGCAGAACAGGTGCCGCCTAGTATGAAGATCCTCTACATAGATTTAGGATTTGCTATTGTGCGAATTACAGTGGAAGATCACCAGCAACAGAATTGGAAAGGACCAGATAATGCACTTAATGACTTTTCCAGGGTCTCACAGGATCTAAGAAGTGAACACATGACCTTGGCAAGCCAATCAAATGTATCAGGTCAAGGTTACCAGTTTGAATATAATGACACATAATAAGACAGGCAGTGGAGAATCCATTTTTGCAAGACAGACAGAAGCTTCAGTAGCAAATTTCAGCAATTTGGGGAACATACCAGTAATACAGTAGCAGTGCCTGGTGCTATATTTTTGGTAACTTGAACTGAAATATTACTAATGCTCACTGGACTGCTTCTGCCATATGACATCAGCTGTGATCTTGGCTTCGACTTAGTTCTTCCTCTCTCTCCCTCTCCCCGTACTTTCGTCCATAGACAGCCAGATTTAGGATGATTGAGAGTTGAGTTTAAATATATCAATGGTTTCATTTCTCACAGGATGATTTATTACTGTCATTAAGCATATTTTAAAGCATTGACGAAATATACAATCTACATGAAAACTTAGTTTATTTCCAATCAGAGTGATAAAATAAAGCCTACTCAGTAACTAAGATGAAGAAATTAGTGGAAAACGCTTGTCTTCCCCAGTGTTTTCACCATTAGTGTGTTCTCTTTTGTCTGTCATTTTAACTTTAAATTTAGATCCCATTTTCCATAAAGCCTTTGGAGCACGAAGAGTGCAAATGGATTGGGTTTTACTTTTCCTTTACAGCTATATAGACATTTAGAAGTCTGAGCATTCTCTGACTTATAGTTATGCTGATAGTGTGGGTTTTGTGTAGTTTTAACTGTTTTTTTGTACTGCATTGTTTGTGAAGCATACGTGGGGAAGGTCAGCATTGGACAATTCCCATTATTCTTGGCTCCATACACTTCTAACAGCCATACACATTTTGGATGGCAGAATAATTTAAATGCAAAGCAAAATTTAAAATTTAAAAGCAC